ATATTAAGCATCAACACATTATTATTATATTAGGTACAATGCAAAGTTTAGTGAACTAATCAAAACATCTATAGTATGAATAATATAATATTCTACCTAGTTCGAGTTGTGACTTACGTCACTAGGTATATATGTATATACCTATGTATCATTCAATTCAACATGCACCAACTCTCCTTAATCTACGCTATTGATGTTAGGACGCCTGCACAACTTAGATGCAATTTCGAATACGGCGACTCTAGAGCTGTTGTCTAGTTAGCTGCAATTACTATTGTACTAGTCTGTTGCCTATAAACTACTCTTAAAATGAGATTCACGTAACCGAAAACAAATAAGTACGTGGCATATTACTGGCCACCATATTTTCCTACTTATTTATGTCATCTTTTTTTTCTATCTCTGTCATTGTCTTCTATTCCTTTTGATGCTACGGCTAGATAAAGATAACTACTTCATCAAGCATTTTATTATTAACTCTTTTCTCTTAAAATAATAATGACTGCATTACATGTAGGCATGTAACGCAAATCATCCCATATGACATATGATAACAGAATTAAAACGCTCTAAGTAAATACACCAGGCCAGCCTATCTACCCAATTAAAAAAAAATATTCTCATTATTTTTATATTCAAATCGACCGCTTTCTAAATATACCTTACACATTTTCTTGTTGGAAAATTCTTTTATTATTACATATTCCGTTTTCCGGATCGAGAGCGTTCCCTCATCTACATACGCTGTGAAACTTTTGTTCGATTGCGACCGTACTCCGTCTGTAGAATAACGCGGCCGGTGCGGCAGGCGTGAATTTTTAGAAGTAGGTACACGAGTAATTGTTACTCGAGTGCTTAAAAGCTTTACTCTGAAAGGATTTCAACATATCCACAAAAATAAGAACATTGATTTACTACGTTTAAACTGTTCTAATGTACCTACACTTGAAAATAGGTACTTGACAGTGTGCGTAGATGTGGCTTTCAATCGAACATTCACAGACACATACAAACCATCTAGGTAAATAGTATCTACACGATGTGACAAAAATGGTATTATAATTTATGTATTCCTAGTTCATGTCTTTTCCTTCTTTATGTTATTACATGAAGAAAATGCTAACATAAATGCTAACTTAAATCCTTCTTAATTTATAATTATCTATGTGTATAGTTTACTCGCCGTATCAGTCCCAGCATAGATTGGGCTACTCCTTTTTGTCCCGTGGGTATCGTAAGAGGCGACTAAGGAAGAGCAAGGGATGGGCAGCAGCGTCCCTCTTAAAAAATCTATAAAAGCCTAATTACGGTTGCCAACCCTGCTACTGGCAAAACTTCCCTTATGGGGAAAGCTTACACGTACACCTGACTTAACATGTGAGGATGACAGCAGGTCATTTAGGCTATCGTAACGAATTCATTAAAAATATACTACGATGGTTTCTAAGGGGAACCGCGTGGAGGTCGACCTGACAAAGTATATTGCTAACAATAGGGCTAACCTTAGTCCCCATTACTAACGATCGCTTCTCCCCTCAACTTTTAGACTGTTACCTGTATTCTGTCCATTTCATCTCATACCTGCCTATTTGTCACCGTTTGTGGATATGATATGCTTACCACTACCACCACTAACCAGTACATGACAGCGATCATTAGTTAAGTATATAATAAACTTACTAACACAATAGAAACATCTTATTTTATACCAACATCTCCAACATTAAATATTTACTGTCAAGAACTAGGTAGGTACAATTATTTTAATAAAAAGTAATTTAAATATAATTTCGATGTTTAAGCAGATGTCTAATACATGTAAGTAGGTATAATATCTCTGATTCAAGATAAATTGTTATAAAAGACGACATAACTTTTCACTTGTCTCCCTCCCCTAATTTAATTAAGTAGGATTCTTTCATCGGAAAGAATGAAATTAAATTGCTTGCTGGTTGGAAAAAAAGATTGAAAATTAAAACATCTAAACTTCAAATATTTCCAACCGACTTTATAAGAAGAGGTTTTCAATTTGTGTTTACGGTACGTGAGACATACTCATGTTTTATATCGAATATTTAATTAATCTAAATAATTCAGTAGATACGTGGCATAATTTACTTCGTGCGGTCTTCAGTGATTTATGAAACATTTTTTAAATAACATCGAAGTGACACATTGTTTTTTTTTTCAACTTTCGTACGAGTAAATTTATGTTTATCTTAAATAGTTAACCTATAGACTTGATACTCTAAGGTAAACACCGCAGACGTAATATTACGTGCTAATCTAAGAGTTATATGATAGCATATTTCTCTTTCCTAGGAAGTAGGTGGGTACCTATTACTGCGTGAATTTAGGTGAATTAATATTTACAATGATGAAGATTTATCTAAACATCACTGTGACTTGTGACACAATAAAAAATAAAGGTAACGACCAAAGAATAGACTCTAATACAGCACGAAGAATCCTAGTGGACTGAATTTCCGGAATTTATTACCGACTATGACTACAAATCTTGCCTTATGAAGAAAAGCGTAAAAATAAAAAAGCAGTCGTAAAGTGAACCTTTTTCCATCGCCATAAAACTCTTTTAGGTTTATAAAATTTCCTACCAAAGTCCACGTACATAGACAATCCCATTAGCTAAAAGTCTGTACATAACTTTAACTTAGAACTTTTAGGCAGGTATATATTGTACTTACTGACCTACCCAGGGAGAGAGAATTGCTAGTAAAAGAGACTAATAGGAAGTCATCATCAACATTTCAGCCATTATCCATCCACTACTGGAACCTAAATCTCCCTCAATGACTGCCATAAGGAACAGTTCTAAGCCACCTGCATCCACTGACTGACAATGCATTTCAGGTCGTCACTCCATCGAGTGGCGGGTCATCCTACACTGCGTTTGCCCATACGGATAAAATAACAAGAACCTTTTTTCCCCATCAGTTGTCGAGCTATGGGACCAGCCCATTACCACTTCAGCTTGTCTATCCTTCGTACTATGTAGGTTACTTTGGTTCTTTTGCGGATATCCTCATTTTGGATTCTATCACATAAAGATACTCCGAGCATAGCCTTCTCCATAGCCAGCTAAGCAATTTGAAGGTTTACATACGGGCAATCGTATAGGAACATGTTTCGGTTCCATAAGTCATCACGGGCAACTTGCACTGCTTAAAGACTTTCGTCTTCAAACTGTGAGGTATTATGGATGAATAGATGTGACGTAGTTTTCCGAACGCTGCCCAGGCGAATTGGATTTGTCGGTTGACCTCTCAGTCGACTTAAAAGCAAATATATTTGAAAAAACTGGAAATATATATTTATATAAGTGGGTAAATTTTTAGTGTTATAAGTTAGGCTCAAAATAAGAGAATTGCCGTTTGCATGTAACTAGATACCTACATAGGTTCCTACCAACTTGGAGACCGCCATCACATAAACCGAAACTGTAACTGTCCGTAAACAAGTCTTAACAAAGTTGTGCGGTTAAGTTGTAGACAGTCTCTTTAGTGTTTCGTACAATTCTATTGTTAAGCATGAATAGCTAACCCGAGATAATGTTAAGTACTTTTATTTATTGGCACTAAAGAACAATACCCATTTAAGCTTAAAATAATTGGATAAAGGAAGATTAAAACTTGTTTGAGTATAGAATTTATTTAATCACATAGGTAAGTATATAGTCAAAAAAGTATTCACAAATGTTTTAAATACACAATCGGGACTTAACGCGATAAAAAAGCTTTTACAGGTAAATATGTAGTAACTACATACCTGCTTCTTTATTGCCGACGTTTCAACGTGGATTGCGCTACATCGTAGTCACGACAGGGTTGAAGTAAGCGACGTCTTCGTCTAACAGCTCGCGGAGTCTCCTCGGCCATCCTCACACTGTCACTATTATTATATTAGAATGACCCTTTATTAACTTTCATAAATTCGGTACTTTAACCGGGCAAGAAATGATCTGGTTTTTTATTATGATTATTATTGACAAACTTATTGTTGCCCGTAACATGAATAAACGGAACAACAATACAAATAATCTGATGGAACGAGTGAATGAATAAATGAAAATTTATTTCAATAATCCACAACACTTACATCAACTACACTTATATATAAATGTAAACTTTTTTTCTATATATTTTTTTATGTTGTTATTACTTGCAATCTAAGTATATGTATGATGGAAAGTTGCATAATATTACTAAGAATCACTTTATTATTATTATTTTACTGATAAAACACCGCTCCCGAGGGCGCTATATCTGCTCAATGAGATAGTAACGAGTTCCGAACTGGATTTTTTTCACTGTACTGCCACAGACTTTCGCAGAGCGGTAACAGCATTTACACAGAAATGCATTTTTAGTGTTTGTTTTTTTTTGTGCAACTTAGAATAGCAAACAAGCTGACGGCCCACCTAATGGAAAGTGGTAACCGTCACCTTTAGACATGGGCAGTACCATGGGCCATGGAAAGATAATTTGAATTTTTTTTATTATTATTATTCCATTATTGTATTATTATAATGTTCGATTTTTTTAGTTTTTGATGAGTGCATTGGTAAATCTGTAAAGCTCACTAAAAATATGTATATATATTATAAAAAAAAAATATATCTGTATGTCTTGGGAACTTGGAATGAAAATATACACGAAACCTTTTACTTTCTAATATCATTAATCTTAATAATTAATAAAGAAAAATACTAATTTTATTTATAATTTTATATTTTTTATCCAATTATTAGACAAAATCTTCTAAACTTTTATTTTTTACCTTTAATTGTAAATCTATAACAACTTGTTTCTTAAATAAATCAATTAAATCTTCTCTAACATGTGATTTAATTTGTTGCAATCTGCCACCACCAGCACCACTTATTAATTTGGCAATCCTTTCAGACGGGCATTCTACAGCAACTGAGCATACAATCCTATCTTCTGTTTCTTCATCATAATATTCCAGCTGGGTTTTAAGATTGTATGGAATTTCTTGGGCCAGGAAATCCAACAATTTGGCCCTGACAGCTTCTTCTATGAGCGACTCCGGGGTCTGGTCCGTCCAATCCATTGGCGAATATTGTAAGGTAGCTGATTTTGCATTTCCTATAAGGTATTCCTAAAAGAAAATTGTACATATATTTTTTTGCACGTTTTAAAAATGTATTTCAGTTCCAAAAGGCTCTCTCTTTACCTAGTCCAGCCATAAATTCTGTTACAAATGAAAAAGCATTTTTTTTTATGAAGTAATGTAATCTTACTAAAATTTACACACCTTGAAAAGACATGCCACACCAAACCATAACTGACCCAAGATAATGACCACATTGTACCTTTCCGACCACTTGAGCAGCTTCTTTAGAACTGTGAGCGTATACTATCATTTTACTTATTGCAGGTAATGTTCATCAATCGTGAGAATTTTTTCATCGATAAAGAGGATATTTCTGTGGCTTTCCCCTGCTTATCGCGACAGAAGGCGTTTTGTTTGATCCACTCTCTTTATTGTAGATTAATTTAGAGCATGTCCTGTACATCGACGATAAGCACCGAACTTCTGGTCTTGTTTTATAATACGCGACAGAGTCCTAGCAGGAATCTTCAATTCTCGCAATAAGATTTTTTGTTTCCTAGTGGGATTTCGATGAATTCTAGCTTTAACAGCATTAACAGCCTTTGTAGTTCTAACAGCATGCGGCCTCCCCGATCTTTTCTGGTTTTCGACAGAGAAAGTGTTGTATTTGTTAATAATACGACATACAAACATACGGCTGATACCAAGCTTTTGAAGTGTGTGGAATATGACCGACGGCTCCATACCCACTTTGTGCAAGGCGACCACTGCAATCCTATTTTCTTTAACACCCCATTCCATATTGTAATTTGATAATAAACACGAAAAAATATGTGAAACGGAAAGAAAGAAGTCGAAATCGAAAGAAGTTTATAAAACAATAATCCTGTTCTAAATTTAAAATAATTAAAAAGTTAAAAAAAAGGTAAGTTTTTATGTAACAGTATTTATGGCTAGATACCTTTTAATGATGTGTACTGCTCCACCATGGGTTATTCATTGGTGATAAGTACTGAGGATAGTCAAACAGTGATGTTCAACAGTATATATATATATAGAATTATTATAGGTCTTCATATGAATATTTTTTTAAATAATTTCCTTTGAATTAATGTAGACACTGAATGTCATTAAAATCTCAAATAAAACAGTCCCGAGCATGGGTACTTTTCTTAAACGCCATAGGAATAACGCCTTTATAACCCATAAAACAAATATGTAATGCATAAAAACCCAATACAACTAAACTTTTATTCTTAAATAGGGAAAAAATAATTATTATCAATGAAAATAATAAAGATGAAACTAACATATAAAGTATTCACATAATCAGATATACTACACCTTATAGTATAGTTTTATTTTTATTTACAGATCTTAGAATAGCATTTACCAACCTTTATCTCTTTAACACCATCTCCATTCAAGGCAGACACTAAAAATACATCAGAAAAATTATCATATCCCCTTTCAATTTTTTTATTCTTACTATTTTTCTCTGTACCAGGTATAGGTTTACCAGCGATACAACCATTTGTCAAGTTTCTTATTGAAGCTAATAATTGCCTCTTTGATTTTAATTTATCAACCTAAAACAAAAACCTCTTTTAACTATGAACTATTTTTTATACTTGGTATATGTGGTTAAAAAAATTCTGCAGGACCTTTTATGAATATAAAATAGATAAAAAGATTATTATTGGATAAATCATTGAATAAACAGAGCAGTAGACAGATAATGGCTGAGATGATGATGATGTTATTGATATCATCATTGAATATTACAGATGACACAGGAAGTACCCTGTGATAAAATATATAAAAAAGGGAACCATAGATGGGTTATTATTGCTTCTTTTTTCATTATCTTCAAGCTTTATAAAGTAACTGTCTCTTCTGATATACATAGTATATATACAAAAAAAAGAATGAGCCAATTTAAAACTCTCTAAATTTTTTTGTAACATTATGTAAAAATCATTTAAATCAATTAATAATAATATGTAACAACATATACTATGGCTTAAATTACAGAAATAAGTGACAAACATTATTAACATCTACATAATAATTTCAATATACTGTCACAGTAAACTATACCTTGTTTAAAATTAAGAAGCTAGGAACATTACTAGCAGCTTTTAACATGCTGGTTACTTCACGATGAAGACTGTCTTTTGTGTAAGAATTGGACACATCATGGACAACCCCAATAACATCTGCACAATTAAGGCTCTTCTGGTATGCTCCAACCATTGATGTGGGTAATTTGTATCTGTAGAAATAATAAAAATATTTATTTATAAAATAATAATCTATTACTATACCATTGCATTAAAATTGTTGTATGGTCCCGGCATAGAATAGGCCACCCCTTCTTCCTTCTTTTCCTATGGGTGTCATAAGAGGCGACTATGCAAGCGATGGGCAACAACATTCCCCTTGAAACATCTACAACATCTAACTACAGTTAGCAATCTACCTACCAAGTGTGACAACTACTGGCAAAACCAGGTAAGGCTTATGTTCAGCAGTGGACAATTAAAGGCTGATATGATGATGATGATTGCATTAAAAGTTTATTAATAAGTTATGTTATGTTGTCATCCACTCTTGTAATATTTTTATTAAAATGACTATAAATTTAAACAACAGATTTTTTTAAGAAACTAAACATTTAAAAATAACAAACCATCAATAAATAAATACATGAGACATTTAACTTACCCAATTTTGTTTTCTTAAATAAGTATTATTTTAGTAAAATATTAAACAGTGATTTAACAATCACGGTTTGTTATTATAATTAAGAAAAATAAGAAGAAAATAGATTATAGTAAGTATTGTAGTATGATTATATTAAGAGTAAAGATGAAATAATTTACAAAACTATAAGAAATAAATTTAAAAAGTTGTAAAAGTTATATATTGATATGAATATACATATAACTGTATTAGTTTGTGATTGATATTGTGGATGTATTTTGTTATAATTTCCAGTTATATTTTGGTATCATAATGCTTACTTCATTTGCTCTTTTTCTGTAACCACTCCAGGTGTATCCAAGAATATTATCTGTGTATTGTTTTCAATACACATGGCTCTAGCCAATTTGGTGGTTGTGTGTACTTTGCTAGATGCAGCACATATCTGGAATGGAAAGAAAGAACAATGGTTGTAGCAAATAAATTTAACAATAGCTTAATCTATACCACAGTATAATAGCAGTAATACCTCATACAGTACAGCCATTCTCTGCCTCTTATAAGGCTGATCTCAACAACTTTAGGAATCTAACATGAAATGACCATTCAAATAAGCTCCACACCACACTCAAACAGCATTACATTTCACGTATATGACTATACAGGCTAAGCCAAATAGAAGTAAATTATAAAATGCCTAATAGTTTAATCAATTCCAGTAAAAACACATATAGTTTAAATGTTGCACACAAAATGTTTACATTGTATTTATTTTTTAATTACCTGTGTAAATTTTATTACTATTGCTATACACCATACATGGATCACTAATTACTAATAAAAATAAAAATAATATCACCAAGTAGAGCAAATACTCACAACATCAATTTTGTACAATTAATTGCTAAGTCATAAAAATTTATGAATTTCAAATTATATAAAATGACATAAAGTATGTTACTGTACTGTGGAGACGATAATTTCTAAAATTATGCAAAAATAATCATAAATGGAGAGACAACCTGAAATGGATTACATGATAGTCAGTGAACACTTGTGGCTTCAAGCATTTCTTGTTTGAAAATAGTTTAACCATTTTAATTGCATATTCAATGTTTACAATGTAATTTTTTACTACTTAAACAAGACTAAAGAATTGGCGGTCCGATCGAACGACCATCACCTCATTTATTTACAGAAAGATGGGACCAATATGAGAAAAAATAAGGATAAAACTAATAAAAAAAAAGAATGTTTCATAACCTACCTTTCTTTCAACAATATTATTAATTAACGTACTTTTTCCAGAGTTTGGAGCTCCAATAATAGCAACATTCACAATTCTCCATAATAACTTCTCTTTTGCTTGCTTTGGTTGGGACGAATAAAATGCAGATAGAATATAATCCATTTTACTGTATGATAACCGCAAAAAGCATGATCTCATACAAGTCATTTTTGTTTTGTTGTTGCTTTTGAATACAAGTAGGTATACAGATATTTAATTTTAATTAATACACATTAAGCAAAAAGGTTCTCTATAAAAGAAAGTAAAATAACAAAATTTTGAAAATGTAATATCTTGCTTTATTTGACAAATTATTAATTTATTGGGTGCTGATGTACGTCATTTTGAATAAAAATTGTAGAAATTAATGTAATCATCTTTATGCAATATTATGAATTTAAAAGTTCTATGTAACACATAAATCTTGACGCATCTCTATCATGAATTAAACAAAAAAACAATACATTCAGCCAAATTCTATTAATATTACTAATGTAATGTTAAAGTACATAAGAATGGATGGATGCTACTCTTTTACAAAAAACTACTGAACGATTTAAATAAAATTTGGTGCTCGAGTAGATTACATCCTAATTTTATACAGGAAATTTCATGTATTAATTTCTTATATTGTCAGAATGATGATAAATATTTATTTTATTATTTTGGTACATCTGGAAGATTGCATAGAATTATTTTCTAGTTTAACATTAGAATAGTGTCAACTCATTGATTACGTAGTGATTACTAGGAATGACCAATCGACTTTCTATTTATTAAGATATCGAGTATAATAATCGTTAAAAAAAATCATTACGAATTGAATTTGAAGATTCTGGTAATAATCCTCTATAAACATAGACGTATTTGAACACAAACTTAGTATAACGTACAGTGTAAGTAGTCAGCAGTGTAAGCTAAAGCAGTAGTCAGTAGTTCTGAAGATTTTTTTTAATAAATGTTAAGTAATCTTATAATTTTTATATTGGTGATTAAGGAAACACATAATATAGTAATCAAGTACTGTAGGTACTCAAATCTGAATTTTGTATTCAAAACTGAGCGTCAAGTCCACCTGACTCGGTACATCATTAAGTTATGTTCAATGATGTGCCGAGTTAGGTAATTTATAAGATTTGGCAATTCTTTGTGTAAAAAATTGATTTTTGAATGAAATAGAATCGTAATCTAAGCAATCGGATTACAAAAATCAAGGTGTAAAACTTGGAAATATTTGTACCTTAAATGACAGGAAACTCGTCAAGGATTGATACATAAAAACAATAAAGTATTAAATAAAAATAAAAATAAAAATAAATAAAGAAATAAAATAAATAAGCAGATTTAGCAGTAAATGTTATTTTTACAGTTTAAAATCCAAACAAATTACACAATATATACAAACGAACACACATGCTTACAGTTTAAATAACACAATATTTATAACGGCTACCGATTATCAATTTCATAATTAACGAAAATAATTATTACATAACACACAATAGATGTTATACCACATCATAGTTTTAGTCTAACCAAAAAGTTATATATTATAATATAATATAAGATAAACCTCTAAAAAATCGAATATTTTATTACAGTTATTAAGCTTTCACAGTTACCTATATTTTTTTTTTACATTTATTTTTCAAATTGGATGTAATAAATTTACATGTGTTTAGGTACATATATGTGTACATACATGTATGTGTTCAAGTAAATAAATGTGATATTTATCAGTATAGAAAAATAGAATTCAGAAATGATATATCGATTCACAAGATATTCGATTATGAGATTTAGTCGAATAATTCATAAATCGTGTAATCAATTCACATGCATGCCTAGTGTTTATTTTTCTTTTTCTTCATCATTACTCAAAAGAACTTTTTCTTTTCCATATTAATAATAATATAATGTATTGGAATTCTTGTCTTAAAATGATAATATACTTAATTTGACTTCGATCTCAAATTTTTGTGTTTTCTAAGGACGAGCAGCTGTGTGATTTTAAATTCGCCGGCATGATTTTACTCAGGTATTAATTTGCCTCGAAAACTGTAGGTCTTATTTCTTTGACTAAAATTATTTATTTCTTGTATTATAAATTATTTCAGAAATGTCAGAGATAAAGTATAAACATCAGATTTTAGCCGCGATAGATCATTTACGTTCCCGTAAATCGCGCCCAGATATCAATAGAATTTGCAAGTTTATGCTTAAATGTTATAAAGTCGCACCAAAAGACACCAAAGCTGATTTAAAACGTTGTTTGAAAGAAAAAAGCATATTTAAAGTTGATTATAAAGATAATGTAAGTTACAGAAACGCTGCTAAGTGGCGGAAAAAATCGAGTCAAAATAACGGTAAGTCTTACTTAGGAATACCTACTTTAAAGAATGCCCTGTAGAAAGATCAAGTTAATATTTTAATATTACGCATGCATAGTATATCTAGCTTGTGGTCCCGCCATGGAATAGGCCCTTCCTTTCCCTTGGATGTCATTTGAGGTTACTCAGGGAATTTAATGGTTAAAGAATGGGCAGCAAATCCTAACTGCAGTTGCCAATCTGCCTGCCAAGCATAGAAACTACTGACAAAAACCCTAAGGAGGCCTATGTTCAGCAGTCGACAGGTAATGACTGATATGATGATATATTTTTTACTTGATGATATTATATTTTGAACTTGATTAATCTATTCTACATCTATCACCTATTTAACTCGACAAATCTTCATTTATAAGAACAATATGATATGTATCTACTTATATAATTTTTAATTTCATACTTAAGAATGTTAATAATTAGCTTATAACATGTGGCATTTTTCTATTGTCAGTTTTCAAAAATATTGAACATTTTTATGTTTCTGACTTATTATTTAAAAAGTTTTTTGATAGTGAACTAAAATATTAATTATGCTGTATTATTCTTATAAAGCTGCTCTAAAAATGTGAATTTTGATGGCAAAAATGTATTTGAAAAATTCCAAAGCAAAATATGAAGTAGGTACAAAGATTTTAGTGGTAGATTTATATGCAACATTTTATTTAACTCTTTATTGCACCAGAAACAAAAATATACAATAACAATTAAACAATTTAAGTGAAATACAGTAGCATACAGTATAGATTAAAAATACATAAAGGTACAAAAGACAGTCTTATCGCTAGGGCAATCTCATACAGGCAATCTTTAGTTAAAGGAAAACCGAAGTAGGTGGCACAAGAATGAATGAATAATTTTTATATTCATAAAATAAAAAAAAAATACTAGCAGAGGACTTAAAAACATTGTTTATAGATAATTGGTATGTTATCATACTTTGTTATGAAAGCCTCCTTTTATAGTTACTTTAAAATACCAAATTTTTTTTCTCAAACATTGCTTACATCTTTCAATCAAGAAATTGGAAAATTTTTCATATAAAAGTAGTCTTCTATCATTAAACCTCCAATAATTCTGAGGTATATATATTTATGTCAAGTGACACCCATGTTCATGTTGCTAAGCAACTGTGCTTCTATCAATTTGAAGATTGGTATGTGGCAGTGAAATTACAGGGTATGAAGCAGAAGTTTAGTCTTCAGGATTAGATTAGCAACCATAAAACTTGTATTATGGTACTGTTTTTATCTATAGGCAATAGTTACCACTTTCCAACAGACTTTTTAATAGATAAAATGGTAGTCAGCATTAACCACTAGTTCAGGCGATGCACCAGTAAAGATAATAGATGAAAAGCAGGCCAGTTGGCCCATCATGATGATTTATCAAGAATTAACTATGGTTTCCAGGGGGAACTTAGCTCAACTTGTTAGGGTATATTGCTAGCAATAGGGCTGTTAGATTCTATTACTAACAATCCCTTTCTCCCAACTTTCCAACAAGTATACAATATAACAAATACTACTTTTTAAAAATTATCACAGTTGAAATGTATTCTGCAGAAATGGCAAGTTCCTCAGCAACAAGTGAAAGAAGAATAATTACATCTGCAATTGCAACTCTTATATATCAAGACCAAAGCTATTTAGAAAATGGGATAGCATTTGAAGACCTTGTCAGAGCTGCAGCATCTCAAGAATCTAAATATTCAAAGAAAGAACTTGAAAATATTATCAACAAGGAGTTGTCATCGGGCAGTCTAGTGAAACTACCCAATGGTAATTTAGCTCTTGGCCCTGCAGATCATGATGGTGATAGTTCAGATAGTTTTAAATTTGAGTACAGTATAGACTCTAATACAAAGGTAAGCATCAAACCATACACATTAATTAACTGGCTTTCATATTATTTTACTGACAATTTTCTGTTAATTATACCTGTCTTTCCAATTCATAATAACCTATTTTTGTCTTTTTATTTTTTTTAAGTATTTTAGGATGTATTTCGATTTTCTAAACTTCTTTAAATCATCTCTTATCGAATGCTATAAGGTAAATTCAATCAGGAGTACGTCAAAAATAAACACCTCAAGACCGTCTAAGGATATTTCATATAAAGTTCTTCAATTCTAAATATACTGGCCTTTTTTTTTTATATCTTATACGTTTTTTTAATGATTCTAAAGTTGAATTTGAAAAATTAATTAAAAACAATTGATTTGCGCGGCATTACTAAGGTGAAATCGAATGTTTCAATTTACCTATTTATAGTTTTTGAAAATTTTTTTTGTCAAATTAATGTTTTAAAGCAAGCAATCAATCGATTCGGAATTTATGCGACTGTTCATCATGTTATCATCATCAGCGATGCCATTTAATAAGACAGGAGATATTACGGGCAGTAAGTATACTCCAAACGGGGGATACTCAACGGATGGTTGCTGAAGCGATTGAAACAAAACAAAATGTGATATCAAGATTATGGTCCCGTTATCGTACTACTGGTGAAGTGGCTGAAAGATACCCTGACGGGAGGCGTATTACCACTCACCAGCAAGACCGATTTTTGCATGTTGTCACGAGAATGCAACCAAATGTCACAGCCATACTGTTAGTTCAAAGGCTTGTCAGAGCACCAGTTGCTTGTGAGTGACCAAACTGTGAGAAGACAGCATGAAGCTAACCTGCATGCTCGCAGACCGCTTCATACTCCAGCGCTGTGCTGAGGAAATCGTGGACGAAGTGTGCCTGTGAAAATTTCCTCTGGAAGGATATCCAGTGGTCTATAGTACTGTTCACCGATGAGTCCCGATTTGGTTTCCATCCTGATTCACGAAGAGTATGTGTAGAGTTCCTGGTCGTGAGAACCGTTTGCGACACCCTCAGAAAGTCCATCTTTACCATAGCGGGACAATTATGGTTTGGGCGGGAATTTATTTCGGTGGTAAAACAGACCTCATTTAGATCAGAAACACCATGACCGCTGAAAAATACCGTAACCAAACGCTTATACCAATTATCCATCCCCATCGACTACAAATGGGCCAAGAATGCACACTCGTTGCAACTGAAGAGCAACATTTTTTGCATCTAAGCAAGACCTGGGACAATATTCCACAGCAAGACTTTGATCACTTAATTCAAAGCATGAAAAACCGCTGCAGAACCGTTTTTTTAATAGGTGATAATGGAATGGTAACCCCGCCCGCGCTATCCATATACACCGGCGGGGCACCCGTGAGGGATGATAGGTGAGGATAAAGCAGGTCAGTTAGCCTATCGTGATGAACTCAATAAGAATTGTTTACGATGGTTTCCAGAGGGAACCACGTGGAGGTCGACCTCAATTAATTGTTATTTTACTGACTTCTAATTTTTGTATCATTTTAAAAAACTTGAATACTTAGCTTTATTATTCTTTTTTCTTATAAAAAACATTCATCTTTAATTTTACCATTATTTGTCTTTACTTAAAAAAATACTTAAAAGATGCAAAAAATATGACTTTATTTTTATTATTTTGAAGTGGTCTGTTAAATGGGGTTTTTTTTTTTTAATATATACATGTTGCATGTTATTTATATTTTTATTTTAGTAAATTGATAAAATTCAAAATACCCCTAGACGATGTTGATTTGTGTATATAAAATATTAACTATGTGATTCTTACATATGTGAATACATGTAAAATTTTGCACATTTAGTACTACAGCCTATTACACCTGTATACAAGTGGCAAACACCTTGTACTGATATGTTTTATTAATGCTTACATGAGAAAGAGAAGCTAGGGTTGTTCTCTATTAATCTGTCCTGTTCTAGACTATACAGATGGGTATCTGATCCCAGCCTCCTGAGCCACTACAGTTTTAACCAATTTCCCATCTACAATTGCAATTCCACTAAATCTTTTATTCCTTTTTCACCAACTTTACTCACTCCCAAAAGCCCTACTCTTTTTCCTCCATCCTTTCCTTCATACCATAGGTAGCGGATACCATGAATAAATACATACTCAAGAAGGACAAAATGTTACATGTCGCTATCTCGTTCTATGTCATGTGGCACTACAGCAATGTGTTTATTGATAAATTCGTTTGCCACTTGTCTATGGAGGCAAATATGTAAGCATAAAAAAATATTTTTGAATGTTTTATTGAAATAGGTGTTATCTTACGTAACAGACAATAAATATAAGCGATACGTGTTTCACCTCTAAACGTGGCATCTTTAGGCAAAATTATTAGATCGCTGCTTGGAGCCTAATGTTAACCGGTCGGCACCAAAACTGTGAAAACGAAAAACGAATTATAGTTGTGGAACTTTTGTTTGTAATAATAGTGGTCAATCTTCGAGTATTAGCAATCACACACGTAATAAGTAACAAAATAATTCTAACCAATTTATTTACATTTTATTGCACAATTTATAAAATAGTAAATACATTTAATTGTAATGACATAAGATACAAAAGGCGGCCTTATCGCTCAGCAGTATCTTCTATTCTACCAATTCTAACCGATTTTTTTTTATTTACTTATCACTTTAAATTGATAATTTTCATCTATTTATTGACAAAAATAAAAATTATTTAATCTTTTTTTTTACAGATGACTTCCTCGGCCAATTCATCGTGTCGTTCATCGCCGCAGCGAATGAGAGGAAGGCCTAAGAAACGTGGTGGTGGTGCATCTAATAATGGATTAAGTATTATCACGAGGAACTCTGGAGTTCGCGTCGGCGAAAGACGAAAAATGGCTAAGAAAGTCTTTGATCCCTCTGACAATAATGTGCCCAGCAAACGTAAACGGGGTAGACCAGTAGGATCACTAAATAAAAGTACAATAAAAAAACGTTTGTTGGGCGCTGGTAATCATCAAAAAACAGACAAAGAAGGCACCCCATTATCCGAAAGTCAACTATCTGCAGATGGAAGTGCTGATGAATTAGAACAAGATGAACCAATACCTCATGAGACTTCAGGAGGAGTTTGTTCTGTATGCCACATTCAGAAATCCAGAGGGTCTAATGATAGACTAGTAGAATGTCGCGATTGTAATAACAAAGCTCACTTAAGCTGTCTCCAATCCGGATCTGGCATATTAAAGCCACGCCCAGATAATACATGGCAATGTCCACATTGTAAGACCTGTGTTATTTGTTGCGAAACTAATGATGCTGTAAGTTAAATTTATATTTAAATACAAATAATGATTACATGGCTAAATTTTAATGGATAGGGTGTGGCAATGAAATTACAGAATACTTCATCCAGTATCCCTGTATATCCTAAACGTTGACTGGGAGAGAATACCTATAGCATTAAACAGCCTTTTGTACCATATTTAATTGGTCAATAAAGTCTAAATAAATAAATATGAAAGCATAACATGTTAGTCCTCAAAAATGGATTCTGCAATGTCTTTGTTGTTGTTCATGTTTATAGTCAATGGTAACCACTTTCAATCAGGTAGGCCATTAAGTTTGAAAATATTTTTTATTCCAGATTGAGAAGTTACTTTTATGGTGTCATAAAATGATAAATAATTGTTACTCTTATTTAAACAAATGGCAAAGTAATCTATACTGGATACCTTTTTTAAACATAAAAAAACAAATCCCCAGACATTGCCGTTTTACATCTCATGCATGTAGTAGTAATAACGTATCTATCGATGCTGATCATTTGCCATTTATCTAGGTCCCTTAATTTTATATATTTCTGAAACATTTGTTAATTTATTGCAGGGTATTTTAACTGTCTGCAGTATATGCTCTGATGCTTACCATGCACTGTGTCATACTCCACGTATACCAGAAAGGTTAAAAGCCTGGGATCAATGGGAATGCAACAATTGCCTCAAATCTCGTCCTATAATAGTTGGATCACCTGCAATCATACCTAATATTGAATACGAATCACGAAATTCATCTACAATTGATCCGTTTTTAAAGCCTCACGAACTGGACAGAGCACAATCAAAATTGGGAGATGTACCAATAGATCCAAGCATTCCAGATATAACAAATTGGACTACTGAAGATGTGTATGAATATTTCGTGGAACATTTCCCAGAAGCTGCTCCTATTTTGAAAGAACAGGTAATTTATTTCAAATTATCTTTGAATTTTTGATTTAACTATTGAAAGTATTTTAATTTTAGGGTTTCTTTGATATATATATATATATATATATATATATATATATATTTTTTTTTTTTTTTTTTTTTTCTTTGTGTTTTGACATAGGTATCACATTGACATAACTATGTGTGTAGTGACCATATTTTACCCTCCATTTTGGTTATATGGTTATAAAACTGTAATTTATTAATTGATAAACAGACTGAGTGAGTCTCCTTGCTAATGTATCTAGATATTTTTTTATTATGAGTGATGTCGTAAATATTAACGCTCGTTTTCAATTACAATAAATGAATATGTAAATCTCAGTAATTATTCATACAAAAGGCAAACTCATTTAATAATTAAATATTTTGTTTTAGGAGTTTGATGGACAAGCACTTAGTATGGCACGGCGGGCAGATATTGTACGAGGTCTAGGTCTTCCACTTGGTCCAGGACTTGCACTTTATCGTATTATTGTTAAATTACAAACTAGAAAAGATGATTGGACTATGTGCTGGGGTTAATTAAACGTTATTATAATATAGAATAATGTACTTATAAATACTAGATATTTAACATGGTTCATTTTACTGTCCTTTAATGGATGATCATAAATAATATTATAATTTGAAAAAATGCATGGCTCTGCATTACTACATGTAATTTTATAGACAGGTTTTAAAAATAATCAGACAATGAATCTGTTTATAACTGTACATATATAGTTGGTTTTATTCTAATTATGGTAAAAAATTTAATAAATAATCTATTTTTTTACATAGCGGCAACTAGCACCATATTTAAATTTTTTATAATCTAAAATTTGCATTGGACTAGCACTGTCTATTCCTTAACACTTCATTTATCTGTCCTACACAGAACATACTATAAAAATCCATACTAGTTAGTATTCTCCTGACATTGATTTATTAACTAGAAATAGATTTAAATAGATGCCATAACTTTCTTAGCAGAAAAAATTATTACAAATTACACAGAAAGAAAAAAACAATGGGCAGGCAAAAATTACATTAACAAGAGTGAGATTATTTTAAGTATAGCATTCCTAAACAAATGTACATAACAATTTATAAAAAATAAAGTATTAAGCTAAATTAAAACAAAAACTTTTATTAAGTTCATAATTTCAATACAATCCTGTTTATCTTATATTCCCCTTTCATCCATTTTTACTTTTTACTTTAGTTTATTCTAAAAGAAAATGGTGTAATTGTTTGTTTACAATTGTACTCCACTATTTTGTCTGTATGAATTAGTAAAAAGTTTCAAGTGTTACAATTTGAAATATTACATTTACAATACTACTGATGAATAGCATAAAGTAATATTAATTAACAGTTGCTTAAAATCAGTTGTGTAAGTCTTTAATCTTTTTTTAATAGATACTTTTTTTACTTATGTACTCTACTGCTGTAAGATGACACTGTCCAGATATCCTAAAGATAATAGAAAGGCCACACCTGGGTTCAAAATGCCGCGTGACCATGACTGCATTTGTTCATAGTGCTTAGCTTGATTACACTGGCCTCCCTCTTTGCATTATTATAAAAAAATATTGCCTTTTCTGTGTTTCAGTCCAAATTCCTAACAAATAAAAAAACTGTCATCTTGCCAAACTGTGTACTGAACCGTCAATAAATATAAAACAATGTAAATTATTGTGGATATGTTTGGATGTATAGATCCAAATAAAAATAAATAATAGTAGTATAGGTAGTCCTTAATAAATATTAAGTTTACAGATTAAATAATATTATTGTTTTATACTATAAATAAATATTTACTTTAATAATTCCACTAGAGTTGATTCTTTGTGTCAATGTTGATCATAATGTTTCATATAAGATAAAAATATATTAAATACCATTGTTGCTATATTAATGTAGAATACTCTGTATTCTGTAGTAAGATAATAGAAATTGACAAACTGTACTGGAGGCCAGAATAAGCAATCTCCCTGAAATAAGAAAATAAATATTTAAAACTCCAATTAGATGACCTGTAGGAGACTTCAGACTGTTAAATCACTTTTGTTTTACACCTGCAAATGTTATTCAAATCTTGGATATATGTAAAAAAATGTAAACAAAATTTACCATCACCTCTCTCTCTTCATTAAACTAGAATAGGGAAGTTATTATTAATTTTAATTATGCAATTACAGCATTTTTAGAAATTTTCTTCACATTAATAATTTTGTCAAAAAAATATAAAAACAAACTTACCACATAAACATATTTGAATTTATGCACAATTTCAGCTGTGCTCTGGTCTAATGATTTCTTTTCTAACTGTCCCATTCCATAAAAGAAACAAATTATAGTTGCTGGTGATGCAAATAATTGGTCACATACAATTTTCTTAAAAACAGTTTTAATATCAGCCTTAGGTAAGACCTTATCCAAATATACATAATAAAAATGATGCAATGGTCCCATTAACGTGCCAACAGTGAACATCCTCGCTGAAAATTGTTTTGTAACATAAAAAAAAGTTAGTATCGACAATAATGTAAACACAATATTATGAAGAATATACTTACCTACACGTCCCCAATCGTATCTCTCTGTTAGGAGATTTGACCGATATTCAATTTCTTGCTGGACCAAATCGCCAATTGCCATAAACCCTCCAGAGGTAATACTATTTGTAAATAATAAATTCTTCTTGAAAAAAAATTGCACGCCACGACGAAAAGTGGAATATGATCTAACTTGAAATCTTATCAGGGGCAAGGTTTGTTTCATCTTTAGACAATTGTTAAAGAACATGATTAAAATGCAACCTGAAAAAATAACACTATCGGTTATAAGAAATGCATTATATATATTTAAACACATTTATGGCTCAAATTATTTCTCTTACTGTTATTAATTAATTAAATAGTACACCATAAATTAAAAATTGCGCGCTCTAGGTATCATTGCCCTTATTCGATTTTGACAAAGAGAAACATTCACTAATATCACCTATGAAGTTATAACTTCATGCTATCACCTGACCAAATACTGTGTTGAGTGACAACTTAAAGAATCTTAGATTATGAATGTTAGTAGAATACGTTATACCAAGTCTATGCTAACTCAACTAGTTAATTGTCATATATCTTTTTTAATTATCTTTGACAAACAAGAAGTAAATACTGCACTGAGAGAGCAGTGCCATTAGAGTGCCCAATCTGGAAAATAATTCTATGTAATCTAGATAGTTCTACTACAAAGCTGTTTTTATAAAAATATTGAATTATTTTTATAGACGCTGTTTGACTCGGCACAATGCTTTCAATTATTGTTTAATGCATCAAAGAGAATTTGCATTACTCACTCAGAGTAAAATAAAGTAACTAAACATAAATAACGGTTTTGTTGACGTTTTTCGTAAAATTTGCAATTTTTATATTATGAAATAGGTTTTTACTATAACTATCGATATCAGTATATTGGATGGTGGCATACATAGATAGCAGCACAACACTTTGGATATTTATTCGATTTTATTTTTTTATAATTTTCATTGTGTTCAAAAAACTAAAACTGAAAAAACTAAATTTCACTTCAAAAAGGTAACATACATGTCAATTTCCAGCATTCGCGGATATAAGCATAAGGTCGCTGCTAACTCTTGTAACATAGTGATTATTTTCTCTGTGATTGTATTGTATTAATTGAAAATGAAAATAGTCTGATTATTCATTGTTTTCTGTGAACAAAAATTCTTTTAATTTGTTTAATTGCTAATAAGAGTGGTTTTTATCATAATGAAATTGTGTATATTTATTTAATATTGTAATTCTGTTTATTATAACGTATTAAATATAAAATGGCACAACAAAATGAATATTTAGATTTTTCTGGCCTATTTAAGTTGGATGTTTTTTTACATCTTGATATTGATACATACAGTTACTATGAAGTGGGTCTAAAGAAATATTTTGCATTTTCAAGTGCCAAAGAGTTAATATTTATATATATTAATCAGCAAGGAGAGCGGTTTGAGAAGAATTATGATTGGGATTTTTTAGATAATCCTGTTTATTCTATGTGTTTCGAACCCAGCGGTACTTGGGTTTTGATAATAAGTGAACAAAAAGTATTACTCGTACCTTTCCTGCCATTATTTATACCTCAAAATACTTTTGATCACAAATGGTCATTGTCTAGTGTAACTGTTTTACTACTTAATAATATTCCAAGACCAACATCTGTTGTCTGGTGGCTGACAAAGGAGTCTCAAAATATTATAATTATTGGATCAAAGGTAAGATTATAGTAATTTTAGTCACATATTACATACTTATGAAATTTCATCTCTAAGTTATGGGTTTTTATATGGCTTTGAATGACAAACAAGGTGATAGTCTATTTGAGGGAAAAAGCTAATTTTCGCCTATAAAAATGAAATGTTTTTAAATTTATCATTAAATTGATTGTATTGAATAGTATAAATATCAACTCAATTTTAAGACTAATATAGATTTGTTGGCACTGATTTTAATGTGGGGTGATTTCTATATTTCACTATCATCTTCTTACACTTATATTATATGTTGGCTTAGCATGTTTTGATCTTTAAATTATCTATATTTATAATCCTTCCATTGTTCAGGTCTCTTATTAGACACATCATTTTTCACCCAGTCAATCCACATGTATTAGGTGACTTATATTTGTATTTTGATTTATTTACAATCACATTGTACATATTTCAGTCTGGGGGAATAACATTTTATTCCCTGGAATCCCAGAGTACTGTTGGAGAATGCAAGGTGTCAGGTGAAATTATTGACTTGCAGATATGTTTTGATGACTCACTAGATTTGTTAGCTCTTTTGGTAAGCAGTTTTTATTTATAATAGAATTTAATGTATAAGAAACTTTTTATTTTTATTTTTTAGTGCTGATAAAAAATAAAAGAATTGTGAAGTGAAAGGTCTTTTAGAATAATTTATTCTCTTTTACAATATTTGTTAAACTAACTTTTGCTTACAATTTGATACTTATCATGATTTAGTATCATAAAATATATTCATGATTTTAAGTTTAACCTTCAGGAATAAAACTGTGAGCACTACATTTAATGTAGTGTTGTTATTTATATATGATACTGATGCAGCATTCTGACAACAGATAAATTCTATAAATTATTGTATTTGCATTCATTACTCTTAAGACTCATAACCCTTAAAATCAATCAATTTTCTTAAACATTTTATATGTACAGATATTTAGGTTGATTTTGAGAGTCCCATTCTCTATACCTCTTTTGTAAAATTTAAGACAAATAGATTTAAAAAAAATATATAAATTTCTTTTATCCATAAAATACTAGTAGTCCATAAAATAATAGTATTACCAAACTATCAAATAATAATAGTAAGTTTTAGAAGTAGACGTTAAGAAATAAAGAATCAGCCTATTTCAGAGAACTGAGATTTTCAGTGTTAGTCTATGTCGGAACCCAGAAATCTCGGGATCTTCAGTACCATTGGTACTTTTTTAACTACTTATTCAATTCAATTCAATTCAATTACATATATGTTATTATATTTTTTAACATATAACCCTGCGATATATCTAAGACAGCTTGTTATCAAATTTAGACGCCCATTGTAGTGGAAAATAAAAATTATTATTATTTATTTATGTATGAACAAATAATCTTGTGTAAACATATATTATTGATAGTGCAGTCAATAAATGCGATCACCCGAAAGCAGGATATTCTTTCCTTAACTGTTTACGCTACAGCTGAAAGATCCGAGATTGTAGGCTAGAGAAAACTTATCATAGGAAATGTCATTTCACAATCTTCCAGCACAATTTACGTAGAAATTAGCAAACTTATTTGTACGCGAGTTAGTGTAGTCTATCATGTAAGACAACATCAAAAACAATGATACGATGCTTAAAAACAATAGTTAGAATACCTTTGCCACACTAGCTTTATGAGTATTGAAGCGTATTGAAGAAACAAAATTGTTTCAGTACGTCTCTTTATTGTATTGTAAAATTTGCCAATGGTGCGGCAAAGAGGGTGATTATTTTCTTTATACTAGTTTAGCTACAGATCCATTAGGTAATTCTGGCAGAGGCAGAGATAATTGACATAAGTTACGTTAAAGTACCTTAAAAGATATGTCTATTCCTGTTGTGGGATACACACACACAGTCTATCCGGACCCCTCTTAACATGACATGGCAGCAAGATGGAGAAGGCATAAAGATTCACCTCAACCAATTACCTCACCTCAACAGATCCGTTAGATCCGTTAGATAGAAGAAGCTCCCCATACTCCTCACCACAATTTTTTTTATCTCTAATTATTACGACAAGAACTAAAATCCAATTGACAAGAAAAAAAAAGCAGGACAGGGTAGCATAATAAACGCATTGATCGTTTTACCTTTCCCACACCACTTGCACGTAACGTAAATTTTATTCTTGCTTACATACTAGGTTATTATGCAAGAATATGATTAAATAGTCTGAATAAACGACAAGGTTTAAAAATAAATTCGACACGAAAATGTGATAATAATCGAATGTTACTATCTACATAGATTCAAACAATGATCAAATGACTTACCCTTTAATTTACAAAAATCCTATAATTGAACTGACTTATAACATACTCAGATCTCACAATTCCCTAAAACATGCTAAAGTTACTTAAGATTGCCTCTTAAATGTTATAAGTAATAAGGGTTTTGATCTTGAATTCTCCTATAGATGTTCGAATCTTGAAGTGTCCTTTTAGCGACATAACAACTGACTGTTTGCATTATGTATATCACCAACTATATTAATTTCTGATGTTTCAAGATTGTGGAACTAAATTCGTCACCTTTTAATTATTTAAAAACGACAATAAAATTGTATACTTATGTTTTAAAGAACACACACTAACAAATATTTTTTTTGTTCTACCTCCAAAGATTGATTTTTTGCCACATACGAGAATAAAATGTTCCTACTGACTATCGAGAGTATTGCCATGCAAATATTACGTTTAAAGTGAATAGTTATTATTGTAAAATTGTGCTTAATAATTTTTAGTCGGGAAAGTACCGAAAATTTCGGTTTCTAATTTTTAAATCCCGGTTCTTTGATTATTCCAAAGCACCGGAAATTTCGTGGATTTTCGGTAACCAGGATTTCCCCATTCTATTTACTAGTAGATATAGATAGAAAGTGGTCCCTCAGATTCGACCCCAATATTTAATTACAATTTTATTCTATATATAGTAGATATGTAAGAAGTGTTTTTATAAAACAGGCGAGAAACGGGCATGCGACCCATCTAATGGTAAGTGAATATCGCCGCTCATAAGCACCCGTAACGCCAGGGGAATTATAGGTATTCTGCCGACCTTTTAAACAGAAATATAATCTATTTTTTGGTGGTTAATAATAATAATCTTCGTACTGGACCACTTACTGTCTCCAATTTTAAGATATTTGCTGTCAGTTATTATATATGTATTTATTACAGATATCTAGTGGTAAATTTCAACAATGGAAGCTAGTGCTAGAACACAGGTCATTTGGCTACAATTGGCTCCAACAAACAAGGGCGCAAACAGACAAAGACAAGAGAGATAGTTTCATGTCCTTGATAAAACAGTTGTCAAAAGATAAAATAACATTTTTCATTCAAGGTGGATCTAAAGGTACAATTTATTTTTTACCTGTCCTTATCTATAATTTTGACTCCAATATTATTTCCCTTAAAGTTGTGTTTCCCAACCTTTTCTGTGCCATGTCCCACTTGAACATTTCTAAAATTTTTATGCCCCCATACATAATTTTTTTCGACAAAGTTTACTTGATGACTCTAATCGCCCAGTTGGTATTTTGGTAACGTCAAACGAAATTATACCTAATCAAAATTTTTTTTTATTTACTTTTTTTTTTGTTAAATTTGGCATCTATATCTACTCTAGCATTGCATTTAAATGGCTCGGAGCAAGAGGGTTATAATCTCTTCGAGTCCTTTTTTTTTTATTGCCCCCGTCGCCTTAACTATCAAATTGCCCCCTTGTGGGGTGTAGACCCTACGTTGGAAAACACCGCCTTAAAGATTGATAAAAAATTGCCTAATAGTCTGTATTATAACAAAAAGTTGTTATAATATTGTTTTTTTTATTAACGCATCTTCAGTAAATGGAAATAAAATTATACAGAAATATAATTAATCACAATTTGAGAAAATTTGGGCAGGGTGATTTATTTATAATTAACATTTAAGTTTATAATAATTTGTTAATTATTTCAGATGACAATAAATCACAAACAGTAGAGCATGCTTTAAAGCCTACTGAGTACTTACCATTATTTCGTAAAGGTTCCAATAATTGGGCACTCACAGCACAATATGTAAATGGTAGACATTTCTTAACTGCATTTGAATTAAATGAAGGCACTTTAATAGTAAGTTTCATTAAAGAATAAATGTATTAGTTATTATTATTACTAAAGCAGTGAATATTTTTTATAACAATTGAACTTTGTTTCTAGCTTGAAAGCCCTGAAGAGCATACACCATCCAGATCCCTGAGACCTTGCATAAAGAATGACAACCTATATATACAGGGCCTATGGTCTCAAAGACTTATTTATCTTTTAAGAAAAAATGAGTTGGAAGTTCATAGTGCAAATTTTTCTGCAATTCAGGTAAATAATCAGTTATAGGTGTGTTCTCTATATATGATTTAATTTTAATATAGACTTATTAATTGTATACTACATATTAATTTATTATACAGGGTGATGCCTTATTAGGTGCAAAGCGAGAATTTTCTGAATTATGGAAGGCAGAGTTAATAGGCGATGTTCGTCGGGCTCACTTGATGTCTGCAAAAGAACCAACTACCATTGCAGGAGGTTGGGTTGAGCCAACCTTTTTATGTGATTTACAGCTTCCCCGATTTAATATCGAACCTTGTCTAATTATAACAAATTGTGGTGCCTATATTATGAATACTGTGTAAGTAGAAAATGAATCTTTGTTTTAGTAATAAAAAATAATGAATAGAATATAAAAATAATCTATAATATAAAAATGAATCGCTGAAAGTGTTGCTAAACGCAAATCTCGAGAACAGCTGAACCGATTTCGCTAATTCTTTTTTTTTTAATATTCTTTAAAGTACGAGGATGGTTCCTACGGACAGAAAAATTTAAAAAATTGTTTGAAAAAGTCTAAAAACAACACTTTTCTACACTCCCATTCAAACGATTCATAATAATACGTAAAAGTCAATTTGAACTTTAATACCATAGTATAAAGTTGAAGTGTTCGTGGAGAGGTTCCGGGAAGGCAAAACAAATGATTAACGTGGCACGGCGTGTTTTATAATTTTTATTTTTTGACATAATGTAATTGTTTACTTATTAACTTTCTTTTTTCTATTTTTTTTTATCCTACTAGCTGATCCGGCGTCCCGAATAGCAGAATAAGTATTAAAAAAAAACTAAAAAGTTAAAGAACCGACTGACAGGCGGTACGAAGTTTGCGGGGTCAGCTAGTACAAAATAAGAAAGAAATTCATGAAATTTGTTTTCAAATACACTGCAACCATGAAACTATTTTGCAATAGTGTGTTGTTTATTCTTATAGTAACAGTCTGAACTCTGTCGGAAATATAGTTAGTGAGGTTCGCAATATTAGTGATTATCACTAATATTGCGAATCTCACTAACTCTGATCCGGCAAATAAATGATTTTATTTTTTATTTTTATTAAAGTAATAATTTTATTGTCACAATGCACTTTGACACTGCACTCCATTGTCGCCGTATTTACATTAAAATGCTAATATTAAATCCACTGTCGCGGCTACGGCGACGCGATTGTTTTACTGACTCAGCGCCCTTAACACTTAGGTAACTGAAACCGTCTGTGTTTATCCTATAGTGTTTACGATATGTTTATAATGTTTACATTGTAATAAATTATTGTCAAGTTAATGAGTTATTGGTATCCTCTATGAGTTACTAGGCTGGAGTGCAAAGGGTTAAAGGAGATGATAATTTAGTCAATTGTGATTCCATGTAACAAGTGAATTATAACAAATTCTACTAAACCATATGCTTTATATTAATTGCGCCTGTTAACAGCTCTTTAAAATCATAAGAAAAAGTTACTAAAGTGTATCTTCATCGGCTTTGAATTTATCGGAACATGGATTTGTTAGAATTTTTTTACAAAACTAAATGAACCCTCATATAAGTGTAAAATAATATTCTCAGATGTGACCCGTGCGAGTGGCTAGTGGGTCTGATAATGCGTGGCGGTGTAGGGGCGGAGCGGTCAGCCGCAGCACTCGGTGCACCCGTGCCTGCACTCTTGCGGGCATCCGCCGACATGTTGCTTTCGCGTGGTAACATCGCGCCTGCCCATTACCTCTACTCTCTATCGCAGGTTGGTTCCGCACTCTACCACTTGTATATCGGATTATAGCCTTTCAGTCAGTATCATTATATAGTGCGATGTATCCCATTTGCGTCGCACTTAGGGCTTATATGACTAGGGATACTATTAGTCCCTAGATTAAAAAAAGAAACACATATTAAAAGCACTTTTAAAGCCACTTTAAAGTCATTTATGTGTTTATATGTATGCGTGTTTCTTACTAGCAGCTGTACATATGTTAGTTTCGGTTTGAAGGATCGACCTATGGCATTATAATTACAGGGTACAAAAGCATGCCACAATCTTTCTAAGGAATAACATTTTTTTTAATGTCACAGTGTATTCTTTGAAATCCATGGTACTGTTCATGGCTATATGCGACAGATGCTACATTCTAATCTATTTTCTATCAGATGGACCATCATTTAGAAAAAAAAAAAACATATCTATGCCTTTTATATTTCAGAGTCACCCAGATGGATGGATAGCTCGTCTAGGTGTGTTTGGACGACTTCATGAATTGTCCATGTATAAACATGTTAGTAATACCGGCAGTCTAGGGAATGGTGCCATTACAATAAAATTGTTAGCAATACTTTTAAAAATGGGAACAAACCATGAAGAAAAATTCGACATGTAAGTTTCTATCACCTTTTTTTTAAGTTTTACATTATATTATTGTAATATTGCAAATAAAATAACTGATTCAATATATCAAATAGATTCAAAGATTTAATAAAAATGTTGTAAGTATGTGGTTTTAAGGTAACAAACGCTTGTATTTTCAGGGATACAAAAGTTACTGCATTGAGTACTACCGAGTTGTTTGAATTGTCTTCGATAGCTGCTGCAATAGGCTTATGGGATTTAGTGCCGACGTTCAGTGTCCATCGTGGCTTTCCACATCTATTACTAGCGGCTATAAAGTCACGCAGTGATATATGTAGAGGCGCACTGAACTGTCTAATACGACATCAATGCATTATACCTTTACTCCTTGAAGAAAATGCTCAATGGCTCTTTGATTTTATTGTGGAAAAGTGTTATAAATTTGATACAACTATATTGAAGGTATCTAAGTATTAAATTTATTTTAATATTCTTAAACGATGGTCTCAAATACATAATAAAAATGCTGGTGACTCTTCTCATATTGCAAGTGTTCATAGGCGGCGGTAACCATAAGTACATATTGCAGAAAAGTCATATGTAACTAGGCCCCATCCGTACTCCTACTTCCAAGCAGCTGTGCCTACATGGTTATATTTCAGATCGAAAAGTGTGATGTGTCAGTAAAATTACTGATAATTTAATTTCACATTTTTATATATTCTATATCGGCTTTTACCCGTGATTTCGTCCATAAATAAATAATTAAGAGATAAATAGTAACCTATTTTCTTCTCCATCCCGTGTAGAAAGTTATACTAAATTTTATAGTAATTTATTAAGCCGCTAAGGCGTTATGTGGTAAACAAACTCACTTTTACATTTATTAGCCTTACTAATACGTTTACTCTTATACATGGACAATATTTTAGTACTCAAGAATGCAACGTATAATTAATAAGGGGATATTGTAGTCGTCAATGTCATGGTGTATGTTGTGATGGTAACTAATACTCTTCATAAGATGCTTGTCAGTTTATTTGCAATTACAAGAATATAGAAAAAATACTTATATATAGTCTGTCAAGGATGTTTATGTTGAGCAGTGGAGGTAGCATTGTGATGATAATTGAATTAAATATTAAGTTTTGGTATCTCATATTACAGTGATATGTCGCTTTACATATTTGAGATTTCATGTCACTGAATATGTATTTATTTTTTAGGAATTATGTTTATGGTTGAATCCTTTACAAGATCAATTACGTCCAATCATTCGTGATATGAAGCAGGGTATTACGTCAATTTATGTAAGTACTATATACATTACAGTACATATATATTTTTTGTAATATCTGTTTCAATAAATAATACATTATTTAACTGTTAAAATTTACATCTTAAAAGTTGACTTACAGTTAAGATGTAGTCATGATGCCATCTTATGGCATCATGATTTTTTTACATGTCTCGTGATTATACAAGATCTTAGAAAATATATCTTTTATATTATAAAAAATAATATATGCCCAATTTTAAATATAACCTTGATCTTGTGCATTTATTACTCGTTGTTCTAATATTTGTTATAATATTTTGTACTGTACAATAACCAGAGTGTGAAATTGCAATTTTGGAAACTGTTCTTTTAATAACCCTTCAATGTTGAATGTTAATATTTATAATTTTACACATTTTTCTTTTGTTTAAGACTACAAGAATGTTATATCTAATAGCAACGTTCATGCACGTTGTGTGCGCCATCGAGTCTCGTCATCCATGCCCGGATATAAACTTGGAAGTGATGCAGGCTCCAGAGACTTGGAAAAGCCATTTTACTCCTAAAAGAGCTGTGAGTTGCGGCTTAGCTCACTGGGCTGTGGCTGATGAAGGGAATGCTAAAATATTTATGACTAACACACCTGTAAATACAGAAGTGATCGGAAGAGTGGTAGATGTAGCCTGTGGCAGACATCACACACTTGTGCTCACTGAAAATGGGGTAAATTGTTATTTTATTGCTTATCATTTTGTTATTATTGATATTCGTACAAAAATACTGATTCTTATATACAAAGTGAAAATAAATCATTAGCAGTCCATTGTCAAGTTAGTAAGTGAGGTTCAAAATATTTTTGTCATTTCAGTTTAAGATTTATGTAATGACGTATTTTTTAGAGTTTACTTTCACTTATATTGGAGTCAATTTCTAGGCACCATTCCCTATCTCTATTTAATATTTTTTTTTTATTTGATATTACAGCAAAATGATTATTTCATTTTCTATTTTACATTTAATTCTCATGATTCGTACTATAATAATTTTGCGAAATTAAGTTCTGATTTTAGAAATAGGTACAGGAAATAACCTCAGAATAGATCCCAATATTAAAAATTACAATAATTACTATATTTTAAATTGATTGAAGGATATATTAAAATGCGCACGTGTCCAGGTGTACGCTGCGGGCGACAACTCGTTCGGTCAGCTGGGTGTAGGTGATGCGTGGGCGGGTGGCACGGGGGATGCGGCGAGTGCGGGGGGAACTCTACTATCGTTGCCGTATCAGTGGCCTGCACCACTCGTGTCGCTCTCCGCTGGGCACTACCACTCTGCCGCGCTCGACGTCGGTGGACGACTGTACACATGGGGGTATGACTATTGGCCTAATTACATTTTGTGATGTAATAAAACATATTAAAAGCGATGTGATTCCCAAATTCGTGTATAATATAGTATATATCATATATGTGTAAGTATATTTGTTATTCATATATATTTATTAGTTTATATATGTAATTTTAGTATGTATGTATATCAATAATTAGTAGTACCGCATTCGAGTATTCTGACACTTCCCTATGGTTGACTGGCAGAGAATGCTTTTAGCATTAAGTCCGCCATGTACACATATTTGTACTAATGAATAATGTGTAGATGATCAGGCTGATGTGTATGACTGTAAAGAATTACATTGAAAATAGAAGAGTCCTTAGGAATGGTACCGCATGAGGAGTATCATGAGTGAAACAGTATACTCTGTTATGTCCATAGTACTGCTCATGTCTATAGGCGACGGTCACCAAGTTTCATCAGGTGGGCCGTCAGCTTGTTTGCCATTCTAAGTCGTATAAAAAAGAAAGATATTTCAATTTGATTAATCGAGACTCTGTGGATTGCTATCTTGAATCTGCTTTATAAATATTAGTCAATTTGTGATTACCGCCATTAAACTGAATAAAAAATATACTGAACTCTAATCGACGCAATGTTTTATATCAGTGAGCAAATAAATCTAAAATGGTGGCGTTAAGTATGTATGTACAGTGTAATACATGCAACAATGCTTTATTGTTTTTTTTTTATTTACTAGATGGGGTATACACGGTCAACTAGGTCTCGGCACCATAGACAACCAATGGGTACCACAATTGGTTACAAAACTTCAGGGTAGAAAGGTAAATCAATACTTTTAATAATCTACTGATTTATGTAATAGACTACAAATATTTGCTCTCCCATTTGTTCAGAAGGAATTTCATTAGTACGTGATCTAGTGGCCGGCCCAAGGTGGTGAACGTCTATACTTGGATTCCTTATTTATTTATGTTGGAATAGCAAATAATTATATGCGGTGACGTATGGTCAGGTATGCGCGGTGGGCTGCGGCGCGTGCCACACGGTGGTGCTGACGAAGGGCGGCGAGGCGTGGGCGATGGGCGCGGGCGTGTTCGGGCAGCTCGGCAGCGGCGCCAGGCACAAGAGTTCGCTGCCCATCCGCGTCGCACTGCCCGCCACCGCTGCACCGGTGTGCCACCTCGCAGTTGGATACTTCCACAATGTTAGTTTGTATTATTTACTTATTATAAGCGCTTAAAACCGGACAATTTGTTTTGGTTGTTTCATCATCATCATCATCATATCAACCACTGCTGAACGTAGGCTTCCCTCGTAAAGGGAGCGTTTTTCCAGTAGTTGCCACGCCTGGCAGATTGGTTAGCAACCGCAGTTGGGCTTTGGTGTTTTTTTTTATATCACAAAGGTGGCAAACAAACACAGCTCGTCTGATGGTAAACGGTCACGGTAGCCTATGGATGCCTGCAACACTAGGGGTATCACATGCACGTTGTCGACCTTGAAGAAACCTTAATGTACCCTTTTTGAAGAACCCCATTCTGTAGCGTCTAGGGAAAACCTCGGCAGAGTGCTCATTCCACAGCCTGAGCGTTTATGGAAGAATATTTTTTTGAAACCACACTGTACGTGACCATTTAGGTTCAAGCGTGTGAGTGCGTCTTTCCTCATTACAGGAGAATATAAATATACTGTTCTCATTTTGGCCAGGTAGCTTAGTATAGAATTTTATTACGACTTATTTTCTCGAACTGGTATGTCAGGCTTTGTTCCATTACAACACGTTTTATTTTTTCTCATCACATTAAAGTGTGAATTTCCCCTAAATAGAATTTAAATTTATCACTAATTCAAGGCCTTTAGAAACATTTAAACATCGTTATTTCATATTAGTAGCTTTTATTCACTATTTCGTCCGCTTGACCGGGAATATGTTTACTGACCAAGCTAACCTCTGTTCTTATCCATTCCATATAGAATGTGTATATCAAATATCATAGTGCTTAATTAAACCGTTAAGGTGCTATAAGGTAACAAGCAAACAAACATACTCACGTTCATGTCTATGATGTTAGCAAGGGTTGAGTTTTATAATTATTTATTACTAGTGCCCCGTCCCAGCTTCACACGGGTGGACATTTTTACATTTTAAAAAGTAGCCATAAAGGCTGCACACGCGACGGAAGCTTAAAAATGGAGTAACTTCTCTCGTTTTCCCGACATTTCCCTTCACTGCTCTACTCCTATTGATCGTCGCTATACTATAACCTATCTAGGAGTATGAAGAGTAATTGTACCAAGTTTCGTTAAAATCCGTCGAGTAGTTTTTGTTTCTATAACGAACATACAGACAGACAGACAAAAATTTCCTGATTGCATTTTTGGCACCAGTATCGATCACTAATCACCCCCTGATAGTTATTTTGGAAATATATTTCATGTACAGAATTTACCTCTTTACAGATTTATTATAAGTATAGATTATTTTACGTAATGCATTATTTCAAAATCCGCCTTATATTTATGATATATTTCTATGCAATATAGAGTACTATAACCTATATATATATATATATATATATATATATATATATATATATATATATATATATATATATATATATATATATATATATATATATATATATATATATACCTATTTAGGATATAATTATTATATCCCAAAGAGGATTGACGTCAGGCAGGTGGCCGGTCGTAAAACTAAAAACCAAGTCTTTTTGTAATATGGACAAAATCATATTACGCCGACCCCAAATTATTGGGATAAGGGTAAGAAGATGATGATGAAGATGATGATAGAGTACTATAACAAAAAGATAACTAGGTATAAAATGAAAATATTGCTCTTTCGTCGTAGTTGGTGTTAACTACTAAGGGGGAGGTGTGGTGTTGGGGCGCCAGTCCGCAGCAGGTGCGCGCGGCGCACGCGCGGCACTCGGCGGGCTCGCCGCCCCCGGGGCCCGCGCCCGCGCCCGCGCCCGCCGCCCCTCCCGCCGTCCCCGATCCACCCTACGAGCCGCACCTGTTGCCGCAGCTCGTCGACACGCAGAATGTACGCGGCCGCGTTGTAAAGGTGCGTTTTATTGTCGTCATATTCACTATATTACTAAATAGAACAGTAAACTATTTAATTATTTGATTACATTGCGATGATCCAAGAATCGTTAGTGTACACAGTTTTATTATTAGCTCAAAGGGTAAAATATGAACAATCTTATATATAAAATTCTCGTGTCACGGTGTTTGTTACCAAACTCCTCCGAAACGGCTTTACCGATGTTTATGAAATTTTGTGTGCATATCGGGTAGGTTAGAGAATCGGCCAACATCTATTTTTCATTCCCCTCAATGATAAGGGTGGCCCACCTCTAAATTTTTTTTTATTTTAATTTTTTTTTTATTTTTATTTTATTATGATTTAGCATTAAAAATACATATAACATCAAATTTTCACCCTTTTACGATCAACCACTATTTTTTAATTGCGATTTTTATATGCCGCAATATGGTTGCAAGATGGCAATCGAATGTAATAATTGTAGTACTATAAATTTTCATGTCTAGTTCTAGAAATAACGAATATGGTAAAACATCGTTTGCCGAGTCAGCTAGTATAAAAGTAAAAATATACCTACTAACTTTTTTCCAGTTGGCAGCTGGATGGCATCACTCATGTTTGGTGGATAACTATGGCACCATATATTCTTGGGGCCTAAACTTTGATGGTCAATTGGGTAAGGATAAATCTATTACAATCATTCAACAAATTTAAAAATTCATTTTTATTTTGTTAATAATACATGTGTTACATGTAATCAGACTTAAATTAGTTTTTACTTTATTCTCAATATTCAAGCTACATAATGCAAAATTGCTTCGATCTGTTTATAAATCACAATACGAACAAAACGATTGTCTGCGGTTTCAGGTAGTGGAGATAGAAAACAAGTGCAGATTCCTACCGAAATAAAAATTCGAACAGAACAAGAAGCAACTGAAAAAACTAGCAACTCCAAGTTGCTAGAAGTAGAAAATTCCGACGTGTACACCAAAGTGTTGGTTGCTTGCGGTGGAGACTTCACGGTATTTGTGGATGAGGATGGGAAAATCTATGCGAGTGGCAATACTCACTTACAGGTTAGTTTGTTCATTAAGCTTCGCTGTTTTTACATATTATGACAGATCAGATATTACTTATTGCTGTACTTAATATGCTTTGCTTTATTTTTATTTTACATATAAAATAGAATATTTTTTTTTTGTGTAAAAAAACAAATTTCTTGACCATATTTCTCAATCATTTTTTGTTCTGTTTTTGAAAACTGCTTTTTTTATATCTCTTTTTTTTATGCAACTTAAAATGGCAAAGGAGCTGATGGGTTGCCATTTCTAATAACTCAGGTGTTATTCCTCTGTACCCTGTAAATTTACTGCCATATCCCATCTATCAAACACAACTGCTTCACTGTAGAAACACAAATAGGACCGAGGTGTCGAAGCAAATTACTTTTGTACAAAGTCTCCCTCTGGTGAAGTCCCTCTGGTTATATGTTGTGGTGTGTTTACTTTTCTCTTTTAGTTATTAATAGTGGTGTTATTTGCTTTGTTTATTGTACACTATGAACAAAAATATCGATTCGACTTTATTAATTTAAATCGTCTATAACACGACCTTATATTTTTTGACTAGAGGTTTTTTGATTTATTTTCCTTTTGTTTCTTTATTGTTTATTATATTAAAGCTTAATATACTCCTTTATTAATATGCGTAACTGATTCTTACTATACATAGATATATAGATTCTTTATTATTATTTGAGTTCACCGTCATTTCGGCCCGACCGCTCAATTTATTTGTAACAGAAAACCCAATGCTTATTTACATAAAAACAATGACAATAATGAATTCATTTAGTACTATTGTTTTCATCAATAGTTTATCAAATATGTATATTAAGTAGAAAGATAATCGGGGAAATCATAATTTTTAATGTATTTCTATATTCATGTTAGACTTTTTGTGCCATGGGGTAACCTGGAATAAACGAAATTCTGGAGTGGACATGACTTTTTTATCGAAATAGTCTACCTAATATATTTGTAATTATTATTTCTAGCACACTCATAACGAGAAAGATAAAGGAAGCAATCGTGTTATTATGATGAAGACTACGAAGCGAATAATTAAAATACCAGCGAACCGAAACAGCAATAAGTTCCTGTTTCAACCTATAGACAGATTGGATATAATGTTCCCCTTCGACCTGGAAGATAAGAAACGAGATAATATTGGACCTCGAATGAATCCATTGCGTTCATTAGATGACTTTAACAAGACATCGTGGGCCGATGACCTTATTTTGTTACTAAAACCATGGATCAGCCAAGAAAATTTATCCGCGAATTTAAATGTAGCAGCGAAATTGGCCTACCATAACAAAATGTATGCGGACTGTCTAAAATTATTTTTAGATAACTTAAAATATACACCGCAGGAAAATGGAACTTACGTTACTCACGCAGAATTAAAAGATCATGAAGTTTCATACAATGAAAAAAAGTATACACACAAAGATGAGCTTAAAATAGCGATAACAAATATAATGTCGAAAAGAATTAAAGATATTTCATTGAAAATTCTCAATGAAAAACCGTATCCGGAAATTGATCCTGCGACGTATCGATCTTTACCATGTTGTTGTGATGAGCTCCAATATCTTCCAAACAATTCAATATCGAAATGTAATATAAATTTACCCCAAGTTGATCTGTCTCATAAAGCGGCTATCGTTATCGACAAATGTATTAGCCTATTTCCTATCGATACAAATCTCTGGGAGGTTTGCTTCCGACTTTCAAAAGATTTTTATATCGATAACAATCTTTCCGTTTCGGAACTTGAAACGGTTTTACGTAAATATATGGAAACAAACGCAACTACTATGGCTGCGGCTATAATGTACTCGAATGATTGCGCTCAGTACAGTGAGATACTGACGCCCAAGTTCTATTTGAATATGTGCAATAAAGTTTTAGATACATGGGGATGAAAGTACTTTGTACTTATTGAGGTGACCGTTAGAAAAGTGATGATAATATTTGATGATATTATCCTGTTGTCTTGAACAGAGTAGGTACTGGTACATTATGAGAATTTATAATGTACAACAATCTCAATCATAAATTAGTAAAAATCGTATTTGTGCATTGTAAGAATATAATTAATAAAGCTTAAAGTATCCGTCTATCTTTTGCCAGGCCTTTTACGTCATAGATAGAGATAATATAATAGTAAAGAAAAAGGTGTAATTTGTAGTGATATGCCCATGATCGGTTATAGATTGTCTATTTCATGACCGATAGTTGTCTATTTCATGCTACTAAAATACTATAATAAACTTTCTCTCGCTTCATATATCAGGTTTTTGGGAATATTATTACTCCCATCAGAGCCTAAAAATATTTTTATACTTCTGAAAAATTGTAAATAATTCACTTCCTACTCCTGATTCTCAAGATTAATTCTCATCAAGAGCCCATTTTTATTCGGTTATCTTTTTTTTTACTTTATTATCAAGATGTGCTTTTGACACAAAATAGATATAGTATTAAAAGTAGTTTACAGTTGTAATGAAATATTATTCCTAGAGAAATGTACATCTCATTCATTATTTATTATTAGTTATGAATATTAGCAGCTGTACTTATGGAACATATCGTTAAGCTTCCATATTCCTTATATTTTTTTCGGAATCTAATATGTATAACTAATTTATCCAAATAACGAATGAATTTATCAATTTTTTTTGTTCTGGGTGTAGTGTGTATTTTCTTTGTAAGGAACATTATATTTTTTTAATGTATGTATATCAGAATATTTGTAAGTTAAACTTAGCTTGTTGGATTGTTTTGTAAAATAAAATTTATTATTCGTCATGTCAATTCTATAAAATACGTATGGTAGCTACAAACTGTCAATAAATTATTTAACAATCGGATTTTTGTAATTTTGTCACGTCCATTGTTTCATAACTACTATGAGAATCAATTAAGTAGCTAGTTTACATAGGTAAATGGCTATTTGAAATAAGAATGAAAAATAATTTTGTATATATTTAGTTGACTTTGTTAAGTCCAACAACTATATATTTTGACAGACAAGTGCCATTGTTGTAATATAAAACATCTATATGTATTATTGATTTAGAAATTTAGATCTAAATTGAGCCTATATTATAATGAAAGTAAAGATTAATGCATCTGACGGTAGACATATCTCCACTTATTTCATATCTGTTAAATATTTTTGATGAAAAAGTTATAAACAATGATCAGGTTATAATTACCTGCTTAGTTTCTTATATTAATTATTGTAATTGGATGTTATTTCGCTTAGATTTGATATAAGATGTCTAATTATGTTATTGGTTACAAAGTAGCGCGATGTTTCTAAGTAGGGTTGTAGTATTGGTTTTTATAAATTCGATGTTGCTGTTTTATTGTTCTTTGTTGAATTTATTTTAGTACAATTTTGCACCAATTTTATGTATATAATTGTTTGTGTTTCGATTTCTTGACGGAACTTATACCGATATAATCGTACGATCGGTAATTTTTGTGATGTTTACAATGTTAGTGTTTGTATATTTATATTTTGTCAAAAGCTCTTAAGAGTAAATTTTTATTTATATCTTGAATATTTCAAATAATGATGGAGAAAAAACAAATAGTATTTTTTTCCAATGGGTGATAATAGAATGGTAACCCTACCTATGCTAACGATGTATGTTGGCGGGCCACCAATGAGAGATAATAGGTGAGGATGACGAGGCAGGTTAGTCAGCCCATCGATATGAATTCACATTGAATTTAGTTTCCAGGAGGGGATGTGTTGGGGTCGACCTAACAAGGTATATTTCTAGCAACGTTACTGGTAGGTTCTATTAGTAACAATCCAAGACAAACGAATATAGTAAAATAGCTATAAACAATTTATTTTTCTGGAATCATACAGCTTACTACCATCATTTATTAAATGATGATTCTTGTCTATTACTCGAGTTAAAAATTTGTGATGCCTTTTTAATAATTTGATCAACTATAAAAATATTGTTCTATTATATTTTCTTCACATTAGATTTTCTTAGGAGTACAGATTACCTATAGAGTACATTTTTATGTATTTATCCAATAAAAACAAAAACTACAAATAAAGCACCCATCGTTATTTGAAATAGAAAATATAGTTTTATTAATAGTAAAATTATGTAATTATTGTGATAGTGATAATGTTTTCGCAAATTGTATTTTTTCTAGTCATTATTTGCAATTGTAGAGCTTTTTGTAATACAATACTAATTTAACAAATGTGTTGTTGACATTGTTTTTTATTTATATTAACAAATGGACTAATGTGTTTATTATGTAATTCATGTGCATATAACAAATAAAACAAGGTATATAGTATATAACTGTATTTTTGTAAACCTATTTACAAAAGAAAATAAATACACCATTGCACAAAACATTTACATCATGTAAATGTTGAATGAATGATGTTGTTATCAACAAAGCGGAATGAAATTATATTATATAAATCAATATTTCCGAAATAAATATTTTAAAAACAAATATCACATAACCATCAATCAGTGGTATCTGATTACAATAAATAAGAAGTTTACGCATTGAATTGAAGTTTTTAAAATTAGCTTTGTGAGTGATTTACAAAAGGCGTAATACAACATAAATTAGTTAATATCCAAAATTGCTCAACTCAGATTCATACAAGATTCCTTATCGCAGACGAACTTAATTAGCATACATGACTAATAACGAGCCAGATGTTGTGGGCTCACATACATTATTTGTACAACTATATCTAGAATTAAAAGTTGATCGGTTTTCCTGCATATGCGGCCAAGTTCGCCTCGCGTAGAGCTTCCGCACATGTCTGAAACAATTTATGTAATTTCGTTAGTTGACATAAATGTTCGCTTTTTGTTTGAATCATAAAATATCACGATCTATGTGTCACATGTCTAATGTGAATAAATTTTGATTCGTTTACGAACTTAGTCTTTTTTGTAATACAATATTAAATTATTTATAATTTAATATTGTATTACAAAAAAGACTAAGTTGTGACAAAACCAGTTGATTTAAAAACTAATCTACTGAACTGATTTTGATAAAATTTCTATAAGACCAATTTATATTTTTCAGTTTGAAACTAATTTTTCAAATCAGTTCATAACTGACGGAGTTAAGTGGTAACAAACAAAAAAAAAATACAATCGAATTGAGCTTAGATTATGGATTATAAACATCATCATATCATCCCTTAACGAACCACTGCTGAACGTCAGCCTCCCCTTGGGGGGGTTCTGCCCGTAGTTACCATGCTTGGCAGGCGGATTGGCAACTGTAGTTAGGTTTTAAAGGTGTTTTAAGAGGGATGCTGCTGTCCATTTCTCGCCCTCCCTTAGTCGCCTCTTACGACACCAACGGGAAAGAAAGGGGTGGCCTATTCTAATCCGGGACCACATTTCTAATGGAATTTATTAATACGTTATACCAAGTCTGTGCAATTAAGAACCTCTTTTTTGAGGTCGTTTGAAAAGAGACTTCAATAGTTTTCAATAGATTATTAAAAAAAAAATTGACTTAGTACACATAAAAAAATACAAAATTACATTTTAATAAATATGTGTGCTTTAAATTCAGATTTTTTAGTTGAAAATTTTACTATTATTATAAATGTAAAAGTTTGTAAAGATGTTTAGATGTTTGTTATACAAAACTAGTCGGTTGTGGAAGAAATTAGATATTTGGAACATATAAGTTATAACATAGGATACTGAGTAACGCGAGCAAAGCTACAGGAAACAGCTAGTTCCAACTAACTGATCACATGGTTTTAAAAACTGGTTATGTGATTCAGTGAGCACGATGAGCAGTTTGAGTCAAGAGTCAAGCAACTGTTTGTGAAACTGTATGGGTATACTAACGGGATGAGCGTGGCACACTCTCGCTACGTCCTCTGCAGCAGCACCGTACTCCTGCGCCAGTACAGCTTCGTTGACCAATTCGCCGGCACCCTGCGATTATGAAAATGGAAGTTTGTCAACGATTATGGTTTTTTGTTTTAATTATAATATCATTGGAGATGATTAAGACGATAAAAACTATAAGTAATATACTACATATAGGGTACAAGATAGGAATAGAGATTTTAATAGATAATTCGGGTTAGTATTGGTATATTAAACCACAATATTTCCATGAAAATTACGAACACCAAGCTGATAACCCATCAAATTGGTAATAGCAGCCATCATCTATAGAGATGTACAGCATCATGTACATAACAGAAAATACTGTGACACCCATGGTACCCCTCATGTGTTACTATTTCTAAACCCTGTAATTTCACTACCATATCCTTCCCTCTGGTAGTATTATAATGCAATTTTGTTATTAGATGAGAATTTGAATTATGTAAATATAATTTTATATAATAATCAATAAATTAAAATTTTATTTAATTATACTTACAGGACCAATTATGTGGGTTCCTAAAATGACGTCTGTGGCTTTGTCCGATAACACTTTTACGAAACCATCTGTTTCGCCATTGGTCTTTGCTCTTGAGTTAGCTAAGAATGGGAATTTGCCTACTTTGTATGCTTTACCCTGAAAAAGATCAAGTATAGTTAAAATTTAACTTTTTCAAAATAAGTAAAAGAAAAAAAATCATCATCATCATATTAACTGTCAATTGCTGAACATAGCCTCCACCTATTGGAGATTTTGTCAGTAGTTCCACATTTGGAAGACGGGTTGGCAACCACCAAGTTAGTTTTTGGTGATGTTTAAAGAAGGATGCTTCTGGCTATCTTTTGACCCTTAAATTTCTGCCTTTTACGACACCCGCGAGAAAGGAAGAGGTGGCCCATTCTGACAGGATAACACGGTGATTGATATATATTTGTTATTAACTATTTATATCGATTAATATAAAAAATGCATAAACATGTATAGAAATAAGACAATCACAAATTATTGATAATAATAATATGAAAAAAATGGGGGAAAGGTATTGTTAGCAATGGAGTTCGACAGCCCCATTGCTAGCAATATGCCTTATTAGATCGACCTCCATGTGGTTCCCCCTGGAAACCATCGTGAACAATTCTTGTTGAATTCGTCACGATGGGCTAACTGACCTACTTCATTCTCATCTATCATCCTTCACTGATACCCCGCCGGCGTATACCGATAGCGCGGGTAGGGCTACCATTACATTATCATCCATTAAAACAAAATATGAAAAAAATGTGTACTAAGAATATAATTAATATGAATAATAATAATCTACCTCCTTCTTTAGGTCCTCCTCGCTTTTGCCGACCCAGCCGACTTCAGGTGATGTGTAAATTACTGATGGAATGGCATCATAGTTGAAGTGAACAGGCAATCCCTGTACACAAAGCAATATAATACTTAGTAGTTTTTTTTTCATAAATACACACAAACTGTAGTTGCAGGACTGGCATCTTAAATATGTTTGCAAATAAATTAAATAGTCCTCTGGTGCGGAAGTTCATAATGAATGGTTATGTATTAACGTAGTTTTTAAGTACACATACAAAAAATAAAATATTTTAAAATTATCTGAAATAGCTAAAAATAAATTCTACTACTCTTATAGTATGGAAATTTAGATGAACGGATATCTTTTACTCTTTTATGCACAAACAATAGATTTTAATGAAATTTGGTACCCATTACATCCTAACTAAGCACATATACTGATTCAAGTGGACAAAGCAACAGGATATAGCTAGTAAAGTATATAAGTACTTTACCTTGATACCCTCAACACAAACAATGCCTTCATCTTCTGCCTTGTGGGCCAACATGGGACCATGAATGACATCGCCAATGGCATAGATACTGTAAATATAAAACCATAAATAGAGCTAACCATTAAACACTTTAATTACTTAAAGATATATTGGGAATTTGTGAAGCTAGGCTGAACTGACGGCGCCCAGTCAATATAAGCACACTATATTAAAAAAAAAAAAAACTTAAACATATTATAACTATTTGATTAAATAATATTGCTTTGTTTTCTCGTCATAAAATATATTAATAATAACAAAATAAAGTAATACACAATTTACCATCTGTATTATTTGGGTGTCTGTTGTTGTGATAACATGAATATCACTATTTAATTGTAAACCACATTCCTAATTGTTTACGTTTAAAAACTAAGATAGCGCACAAAGGAATTTATTACAATTAGATGTCTAGAAAAAACAACTCTTTTGGCTAGAAATTTCCATATCATTTATAGTTTAGGAAATTATTTACATATTACATACAAATGAAATTGCAACTGTTATTATAGTTTTATATTTCTATGTATATTTATTAAACTAGAATAAATATTTTACTTAACCATAGTTTATTTTTTAACAAATCAAAATTAACTAAAAACACAATAGCAACAAAATATAATATTGGAGATTCTATTTCTTCGTGATACTTAAAGTATACTTTACCCAGGTACTGTAGTTTGGAACTTGTCATTAACAGGGACACGGCCACGGTCGTCTAGGGCAATGCCGACTTTGTCCAATCCGAGGTCTTTTGTGTATGGCCGACGCCCGATAGAAATAAGAACCACGTCGCATTCCAACTAATAAATAACAATTAATAAATTAATAAAATATTCTGTTATATATAAATCAATGAAGTTTATTTCAGGAGAACCTACAAAGAATAATTAACAATTGACAGCAAATAATTAAATAAAATAATAATTGAAAACAACCATATACAGCCTGCTGATGTCCAATATTCAGTACATTTAAAAAATTGATTAATTGAGTGAATGTTTCCATTTGTTACTAATTTCATTTGGAGTGTTTCTACGATTCATCAAAACTTATTTATATTTTGTTTTATTTAGATAGTGAAACAGACTATAATTTCTAATTTTAAATTTCTCACAAAGCTCATTTTAAATTATAATCATTAAAAAATATTAAGATAATTACCGTTTCCTTGTTGCCACCCTTTGCTGCTTCTACATCAACTTTGACAATGCTTCCCTCTTTCCTGACACCCAACACTTTAGTGCCCAGTTTGAAGTTCATGCCTTGCTTACTTAGAACTTTTTGCAATGTCTTTCCTACTTCACCATCAATGCCCACACCTAAGAATAGAAAATATAAGCATTTTAAATTCACATTTAAATATAATTTGCACTTAATATCTAATAATATCCATACATGTGTATTTCTTTATATTTAAAATAGGAATTTTCTATTTATAGAATAACGATATCTATCTAAAAAAATTCCTATATTGTATAATGCAAATAAAGTATACTCATTCATTCATCTATCTAAAAAAAAAATACGCAATCAACTTTCAATTTCTTTAGAAAAATTAGCTATACTGTTTTCTATAGGAGCTAGATTTTAACTGTTTTCAGTAACATAAGCTATATATCATTTTCGAAAAATTTTTCTACATATATAAAGCTAGATCAGGTTGCTAGTCTATTACTTGTGATAATATAAGAAGTAAATATTATCATATATTTAAGAATTAATTATACGAGTGAATCTTTTTTAGGAAATACTGTTTTTAAATGCTAGTCTGCAGCTATAGCCTATTAACATGTGCTCCTATGAAAGCGGGCGCTCATTTGCTTTGCTCCTCTATACAGATCTTTTATTGACATTGTAGAGCAGGTGATTGATTGTTCTGGCTTGATTTTGAAATTCAGTTAGGCATATAAATTATCTCGTAGACTACTGACCTCCAATAGAATTTAAGAACTCTATCGCAGTGACATCAGCACCAAGTCTCTGATAAACAGAGCCTAGTTCTAAACCAATAACACCAGCTCCGATAACAAGCATCTTCTTGGGAACTTCTGTTAATGCAAGTGCTCCAGTGGATGTAATAATCTGCTTCTCATCAAACTGTTAAACATAGAAAATGTTTTTAAAAACTTTATTAAAAAGTTTATGTTAATTTTCACACACACACACACACATACACACTATAATAGGTAATTCAATTCAAATTTCAATAGAACATATACAAATAGCACTTTAAATATCAGAATTCAAGATTTAATTATCTTCAACTTAACTCTCACCATTTTTCGATGGTCATTGGATTTATTATAATGCTTAGACCTAGCTAGAAATTTAAAACTAACATGTTATTGTAATTATTATAACATAACTCTAGTTGATTTAATTATGAAGCCATGACACTGACCATTTTATTACAGAAGTTCACCTACTTACCATCTTAAAAAAAAATCATATGCAATATAATCTAAATAAAAATCTGTATTGGTTTTTGCTATTATTAAAAATATATTTTTTACAAACCGTAACACCAGGGAAAGGTGTAACTTCTGAGCCAGTTGCAATAAGGATGTTCTTTGTGTTTACAGTCTCAACTCCATTTTCACCTTTGACTTCTACTTTGTTGGGTGCAACAATAGTGCCTACTCCACGAACAAGTTGCACCTATAATAATGAGAAACTATTATTGCTGGATGCCACTAAAATATGTATGGTCATGTGCAAAGTTGTATAATTATTATATGAAGCATAGTTATGATAAATTCTTGAGTCAGAAACAATTTAGTAAATAGTTTGTATATTTTGACACACAATGCATAAAAGTGGATTTTGTGCTAATGCACAAAATTTGTGATTTAATAATCACAAGTAAAAAAGAAATAAATGCTCATATTAATTCCTATAATTGGAACTAATCATTTATAGCAGCAGAATAAGTATTTGGATTAATCTCTTGCCTACTGTTTAATAAAGTTATTGTTTTATATGTTTATACAAGAAGTCTGTAGATTATACTAATACAATGTTAGTAATACATAGTTAGTCAAAGATAGCAAATATGTAGTTTGAAAGGGACATAAGATTTGATACACAAATATGTTACATGGCCAATAAATAATAATGTATCATAATTACCTTATTTTTCTGGAACAACATCGCAATGCCACCAGTAAGGCCTTTAACTGCATTTGCCTTATAATCCATCATCTTTTTGAAATCAAAACTGATATCAGAAATGTTGATGCCACGATTTTTAAAGTCATGCTTGGCTTGGTGGTATAAATGTGAGTTGTGGAGCAGAGCTTTTGATGGAATGCAGCCAACGTTCAGGCATGTTCCTCCAAGACTAGGCTCTTTCTCTACAGACACCACCTGCCAAAATTTTCTTTTAACTTAGTCACATGGTCAATGATGATGAAACTTTAGTAGTAGTATTTCAAATATAAATTAAAGTATAATTAAGAATGAATTAACACATATGAAATCATATTGTTATAGTAATACCTATATATATAAAAGTGAGTACATAATATAAAATACACAGCGAGGCATATGATATTGCTTATGCATTAGTAAATTTGCCTGAAAGGAATTAATTAAACAAAATATTATATATTTCTAAAACAAATAGTATAACATTTATAATAAGTGTAGTCTATTATTATATAAATCCTTAAAATTGTTCTATTTCTTTTCATATTGTATAATCATGTTTTAGTAAATACAGTGAATACCTTTAGTATGCATGTGCATTAATATTGTATATTTAATGTTTGTTATATAGGTCACAATTCAATACAATGCTGGTATTCCTATAAATAAATAAGATGTATGGTAATACTATAGTAGTTAAGGCCTATCGATTCATACCTAGTTGTAGTTATTCAATCTTTGAGGATTTTTTTATACAACTTAGAATGGCAAATAAGCTGACGGCCCACCTGATGGAAAGTGGTAACCATCGCCTATAGACATGAGCAGTACCATGGACATAATAGAGTATACTGTTTCGCCCATGATACCCCTCATGCACTGCCATTTCTGAGGACTCAGGTGTTATTCCTCTGTACCCAGTAAATTCATGCCACTTCAAACCGAAACATAGTAATGCAACCACAACTGCTTTACGGTTGAATAAACTCTAACTTACAAGCAGTATTATCTGAGTAAGGACTGATTCACTACTGTTTGCATGAGGTAAATTAAATGCCTCATTATTATTGATATAATTTTACATAAACATGTTCAATTACATATTTGTGTTAAATTAAGATAGAATACCTTCATACCAAGCTGGGCAGCTTTGATTGCTGCAACATAGCCACCAGGACCTGAACCTATTACTACTATATCCGCATCATGGGCGGTTGCATATTGTCTAGTAGCAATACGGAAGCCACCAACCTACAATAAAAACATATTTATTATTGATAATATATATTATCAAGTATAATTTTACTAATATAGGCAGCTTAAAGCATTTTTTAACACATGTTACCTACTCACAATGTTGAATACTGCCTGTATCGAGGAGGCAAGACCCCTCAATATGGCAGTGGTCAACATGGACTTCTTATTTTTTTATAACTATTTAACATATTTTAAACTGTCTTTTTTATGTTAACAAACAGCTTCACACAAAATGTATCCTACTTACATCCAATTTAGATCTTGCTCCATTACAGCTTAGTAATATATGGAAAGGAGTATTTGTTTGTTAAGTTTTGATGTTTTAAGTGTGAGCACTTATTACCAATCATCATGAAACTTGATATACACTACTATCCTGGTCTATTATAAATATGAAGGTTAAGTCAGTAGTCAGGGGTTAAACTAGTAAACATCATTTACCAAGAAAAACTTGTTAACCAATTTATCAAACCCAATAAAAATATAGTGAGAAGCTATATTACAAGCAGTAGCCGAGTAAAAGTAATTATATTAATGTAGATATGCAAATAATTAAAGATTGTAGGAACTGCTCATAGTAAAATCAAAACCAATAATAAATATAAACCTAAACTTATTACTAGTACATTCTTAGATGTTAATATTCATGCTTGTAGTACACTTTAAGATTTTAAATGTTATTTTGTAAATTGCATCAATGTAGCAGATTGCTTTCTGATAAGCTATGATTTGACAATCGGTCACATGCTTGAAGGTCAATGGAGATAAATCTAACATATATATAATTGAGCGCCAATAATTAAATACGACACAATAAATAGATAAGTACTGAAATCAGTGTTTGTATAAAAATATAATTATAATTTATAACTTTGAATGCTGGATCAGTCAGTCAAGCTCAGGTAGAAGTCATTGCATAACATTCGTCAAATTGAATAAATTAAATTGTATACATAAAAATACATTTAATAAGCTTACCCTGAGTGAAGAAGCAAGGTTTAAGAATTTGTAACCCATTCCTATTTTTGTATATTGATTTAAAATAGGTAGAAAAGAAGGTTCAGAGCCCTAGCTATCGGCTCGTGTGAATGTCAAAAATGACAATTAAACTTCAGTGTTATCATTATAGAATTAATATTATTACTATATTTGTTTTGTATTATGGTAGAAAAAAATAATGAATCTGTAATAAAGTTACAGCTGTCATTCTATGTATTAAATTAATAATAGAGCACAAACTGAAGATATAAAATTTTTTTTAATATAAAATATTGCTATAAATATATAAATAGAAATTATAAAATGTATAAATAGTAGGTATTTTTATCTATAAAATAAATCCTTAAAAGATGTAGTAGGAAATAATATTCTGTTATTATTTCTAGCAACATCTTCGTGCGCGCGTTTCGAGAAGCGGAAGTTTTGTTTATCAATCAAATCAAGCGATTTACTGTGTTCGGTGGTGTCTTGTCGAATGTGCGCTTACGTAAATCGATGTGAATAATATTTTGGATTACCTATTCGTATTTTGATAAAGCGAGCTTCAATAGATTCTTTTATATTTACATGAAAAACACGGATTGTAGTGTCAGGCCTATATAAGCTGTACACTTCATTGACGGTAAGTAAATTTATTGACTTTTTGTTACCTGTTTGATACGTAAATAAACAGTATAATATACGGCGATAATTAAATATAGTTAGAAATATATTTATTTAATAATATTATGATCTTTAGTCAGATTTTCAATAAATTTGTTAATATCACATTAGTTTTTTTTTATATAATTTTTTAAATTAATATGTAATCTAATAAATTTAAATTGACCTTATAAAGGTTTTATCTCTTACCGCTACCTACAGGGTCCATTTTTCTTATTAGGATAAAAATGAGTTCGGCAAACATTGTTTTATCCTGTGTCGCACTTACCGAGTATTCATATCAGGGAAAAATATCCCATTTTTCTAGTTGGAGCAAACGATATATATTTACAGAAGTTCATTAAAATCGGCTGAACGATTTCGGAGATTAGCGTAATCGAATATCGCAATACTTGATTTTTATATACTACTTAAATTATCCGTATAGCTTGATATTACCTAAATAAATATTTCATTTATTTTATTCATAATATTATCTCTCTATAGCACAAGATACTAGAAGAGACTTGGAGCAATAAGAGATATATCTCTCCAAGTTTCTTACGGTATCTGTAGAAAAAATCACGTGCTATCTTTTCCTATTATCCTCACATAGGTATCGCTTGTTTCATCCACTTTTAGAACCCGTCTCATACATATCTATAGGTTCCAGAAGCTCTGGTCTCCTTCGTCATATAGTACATGACAGGATGTATCTGATCATTACCGGCATCTATATATTTTGAATAGATAGATGTTGACTTCAACAAAGTTGGCACCTTTAAGAATAGAGTATATTATTTTCTAAAAGGCCCGAACACATCTGTAATTTTTTTAAATGTTGTATTAGCTTATAGGCGAGGGTAATCACTTACCATCAGTTAAAGCGAATGCTTGTTTTGCCGCCTATGTTATAAAAATAAACCTTGGTTCGAATTTCTTAGAAAAGAAGTTCGAACAAAATTGTTAGATAAAAAGTTCATATTAATTAAAATCCTGCACATAGGAGGTCAAATTTTTAAATAAAAGTCGCTTTCGGTTTAAATCAATTATTATTAAAATTATCTGTTGTCACCAATCACATCAGTCACAATCAATGTTGATATTATTAATACTTTATTAAATATATTCGAATTATGTAACTTCGATTCTATCTGAAATATAATCAATTGTCCTTATTGAGCTATGTTTTGTTTCAATGATAAGTTAAAGGGTCGAAGACATAACACTTTAACTATCAGAAATAGTAACGTGTGAAGGTATTATTGATGACACAGTGTATTTTAAGATGTTATAGTACTGTTCATGTTATAGTAGTTACATTCCATTAGGTAGGTTTCAGAGTATTTGTCATTCCAAGTTGTGTACTAACAACAACAATAGTAACTATTATAGTTGAAAAAAGTCTACGATAGTACAAATGGTAAAAGGGGATACGTTTCTATTTGTAGGTAGGTACATGAGATCTATGTTGAGACCTACGCTAGGTTTGACCGTGAGATTGTGAAGTATTTAGTTGTTATTTATAATAATACATACCTGTACTATCTAGATATTAATACTATGTTGTTGATTTTATGATAAAATTATCGTAAGTTATATAACATTGTTTTATACTAACTTATTCGAGGTTCTCAGTTTATAATACCTATTGGTCTAATAAAATCTATTGCGGTTTATTGACGTCAATAAATATCAATAAAAAATATTAATAAAACAATGTATTTAGAGTATTAAACTTCTAAGTAATTTAAGATTTTGTTAACTTACGAAATCGAAAAAAAAAAATAGTATGAGACTAAAACGAGAGTAATATACATATATCGATTGCAAATAATTAAAATCGGTTTTGAGTTGGAAAATAACCTGTAATATACATTAAAAAGAGCATTAAATTGAGAACCTTTTTCTTATAGAAGTCATTTAAGAAGTTAATCTCTTTTTGGATTACTGTTATAGGTACGTCTATATCTCATTTTAATTTCTGTCATGTCTGATACTGTAATTACAAATTTTATGCGGCGTATTCGTATTTGAATGACAGGAGTTTAACTTTTATAATACTACGTATAAATTACCTGAAAAAATTATACTATTAGAGCATATTTTTTTTGGGTAATTTATATTTAAATTATACGCACTTACTAGATATATTTGCAATTTGCGTTGAGATTACTATTATATCTATATCCATAAGGATTTAGATAAAATAATCTAAAGTGAATTTTTGAACTTTTGAACCTTTAGAGGCAAAATCTAATCTATGTACTTATAAAGATTAAATTTTCTCTCACAAAACAAATACTTTGCTGATAAAAAAATATAACTTTATTAAATGCTATACAATTTGCTTTATAGAGCTTTAATTTACAGATAGATAGATAGATATTTACAGATATATAGGTGATATTGGTAAACGTTCATCTTTATCAAGATTAGATAGATATCCAATGAGCAAATGATTCGTATCTATCTAGACCATGAGTGGACGACTATGAAATCGATTATAAAAACTACTCTTTAATTGACATTAGTTTATAATAAGGGATTTAGTTTTTATTTGTTTATTTTTCTTATCTACATATGTATGGTATGTAGTGTAAATTTATAATAGGTTTGGTCCTCATAAGCAATTTACTAATGTAATTGACGTATTTTATTAGAAGAATCTGAAATTTTAATGAATAAAATATGCCGTGGCTGTCTGCGTGTTTTTACGTTAAATCTGCTAAATAATTATTAGTCACGTATGTCATACATTATTATGGCTCTGTGTCAGAGGTTTCCAAACTTTTTGCACCATTACCAATCCTAATAAAGATGCAAGTTAAAACATACAAACTATCTAGTTTTTATTATTAATACTCGTATATTACTAAACATTTCGTATTTTATGATTTGCATATATTATAAGAAATAGAAATTAACTGGATCATACAGACAAGCTTTACTAATAAAAAACTTGTTATATTTAACAAGTACCTATGTCGCTTGTAGGTATATAAATATAGCAAAAAAAAAAAACAAGTAAGCAAGTGATATTTTATAAAGCCTCAGATTAATAACTTATTAGGAATCAAAGTAATTCCTGATATATTTCTTAATCATTTTACAGTATTTTTATATAAATTCTATTTTCCACGATTCTCCATTACTTTATATTTTTCACTTCTCTCGGCTTCACTGATTGCGGAATATAAGAGTAATGTTGTAAGTATCATATATCCGCGTGGATCTTTTACATATGTAAAATTTTATATACATTTCGTAAAATTATCTCATCATCATTAGTAGGTACTTTCCTGTCGGCAACAGCGAGTATCTTACTACTGAAGATTAACTGCGTAGCATGCATTAGTTTTCATTTGTCACAATTTTGTTTCCCAATCAGCGACAGGTTTGTTTAGTTTGGATCTCGTTAGTGTGGAGTATATCTCTAATTTATAGGATTAGATCATTGAAGTCTATGTTTATTATGTTTACTACTTGTATATACTTGTACTTTTATTACGTAAAGCGATACATTGTTATTTTAGTATATTATTCATGCGTTACACATTTAAAATACAAGTTCTTACGTATGTTATGTATGTGTTATACAAACATTGAAAAGAGGAAAAAGAGTCATTCTTTGGCAGAGAATTTGAAGTTTTTTCATTGTCAAGTTCTGCAAAATAAAAATAAAAAACAAAAAATTCAGCCATACTTCTTTACTTTATGATGTCACTAGTTTCCATTTACTACTTAAACTAAAAATCACTTGTTGAGAATTTTGTAACATGATCCTGAAACGTTGATCCATCCAAAGGTCAAAACATCCCTATAATGTTACATGTTCGACCGCTCAAATCCGTATAAATAAATTATAAGTCGGTTAAGGCGTCTTATGGTCTGATGAGTAGTTCAGTTTACCTGCGCAGTAGGGTGGGTAAGTTAATCCTGTTAGGTGGCCGTGACACGTTGCCCGGTTTCTGTATAGAGGTATTCAGCAGTAACTGGCCGCTACTGGCCGCGTATCCGTCCTCACAATGTGCGACTCGAGAACTCGTAAAACTGCACCTGCTATACTGGAAAAGCTCGCCATCTATGAAAACGGTATTCTAATCATACTCCACTGTCGCCATAGATATTCATCTCACGATTCCTAATTAGGATCACGATTTATGATCGAAAGTGTCGTAACCTGATTCCACTTATGCATATACGATTTCATTAGTACTTATAGAGTACTCACCACTCGTACTCATATTATCACGGCTTGTTGTCATTTGGCGCACGTGCTAATAAAGCAGCTTAAACAAAACAACGCTTTCACGCCACGTGATTGTGACATCGGATCACTATGACATACCTACTGCACCGAGCTACCAAGTCACCTGATACCCTTTTGCTGTATACATTCTCTTATTTGTTGACATAGTTGTGTTCAATATTTACATCTGATCTGAGTAAGAGAATACCTGCACCATTCAATATTAGCTTGGGATCTGTTGTGAGGTTGATTTGAATTTGATTAATTGTGTTTGTTTAATTTGTAATGAATGATATACATATATGTTAACATAAAAAAACAATACATGCATCATCATCAAATCGCTATCTATATAGTATGTTTGCGTCTATACAATAAGTTAGCTTGTAGGTAATTTAGATAACCAATACATGTCTTTTACAAATATCTTTTTCGATTTTTATAATTAGCTACATTTTAACTTGTCGTTCTTTTTGTTACAAGATTCTCAGCCCTTCTCATAACTTATTTACATTATATTTACTTATCTTTAGTTACAGTCTAATAGGTATCTTTAGTTACAGTTGGTGCAATGGTGCATTCATTATTCAGTTTCCACAAAAAAGAATCAGTACTGGGATCGATGTTTTGCATCATATCACACATCTATTATAGCATTTTTATATTTTATTGATTTATTTAAAAAAAGAACGAGGTTTTAATTCGGTTGTATTTTTTTGTCATTTATAAGCCGATTTGGAAAATTCTTTTTGTATTAGATATGATAGGTTTTATCATGGAAATTTCTTGAAAATTAGTTAAGTAGTTTGATGTTTAAATCAAAATAACTGATCAATTTTGTCACGGTTGAAATTGTTACTTTTTTGTAGAGCAAAATAACGTTTTCGTATTTGTTCTTTAAATAAATGTACGTAATATATACATACTATTACGGAGCAAAATGTACTTGTTTAGTATTAACTATGTAGATAGATGATCTAAATACCGACGACATGTATTGTGTGACTCTGTTTATTGTCATCGAAATACAATCATTAGTGTGCTTAATAATGAGCTAACTGCTTGACACAAAAAAAGACATTTTAACAGTCCTCGTGCGTCCGTTGTTGGCTCTGGCGTCATGGGCCAGGTAGAATAATGCGTTGTTCTCACGTAGGTATGCACATGAATATGTACCAATAGATTGGTTTGGTGTGCTTTGTATATGCCGCCGCGGCTCACAGTATGTTTAGTAAACAGTTCGTTTATCATTGAAAACTTGTTACAATACCTTTGAAAAACTTTAAGTTTTTAGTGTTTCTGGTATTGTGGAGTGAAGATGGAGGCGCTAAACTGCTACTATAAAACAAAAATAAAAGCAAAGACTCAAATCAAAACTAATTTTAAAAATTTACCTATTTCAAATTAACATAATATTATAAAATTCTTATATAATATATATGTAACATGCACAAATGCAACCTTGCAATCTCTTACAGGCAATCTGAATTTATTATTATTATCTATTCCTTTTCCTGTTTATGGAAATAGGAATAAATAGGTGTAAAAAAATAAATATAATGGTTAGTGAAGACATTTAAAGTTGCACTTCAAAGTGCTCATTATAGTATCTATCTTTTATATAAGATCTACATACATCTTATTTACTTATACTAGATGCATCATAAATGATTTAACATAGACTGCTTAACATCGAAACTATGAAGCAATTCAAACATTTTTTTCGTATCGTTACTATACTATACTTCAATAGTATTTCCCATATTAGTTTTGTCTAAAAATCTTTGTTCGTATGGTTTGTGAATAGGTATAGTTCACACGGTGCACCATTGCAATATTGCAAATCAGGTATATGAGGTATTTCTTTTTTCCAGTATAAGAAGCTTAGATTCACAATCATGGAGGTATTTAGCTCTATTATAACTAATTATTACTAGCACGTTATTAATGTAGGTACGCGTATATAATTATTATCAATTGATTCATAGAATTTTAATACACTTTGAATAATAAATGGCGTTTTACCAGTCAATTATAGACTAAAATAATAGAAAATATTGTTACATTTTAAATTAGAAATATATTTATTAGCATATACCATTATGATTATGTAAAAACGTAATAGAGATTAAGATTCATTGTGAATGAGATATCTCTAATATCTAAGTATAATGATAAATGGCATTATTTGTTCGTACTTATCTGCGAAATTAAAATGATTATCAAAATCAAATTCGTTCATAGTTACATCACATTTAAATTGTTTAATAATCGCAATTATTATTATGCTTGTGTATCAGGTTTGTGAAACGTATAAATATAAATATATTATGCTAATATTAACAAAAGTATTTACTTACTCAATACAATACTTCTGTTTTAAGATAATTATTACGCAGACGTTTTGCAACTAAATAATTTTAATTAAATGTTAATGACGCAGACCATAAATACAATTTGAAGAAATATATCCAAATAATAATATATTATTGTCACTCGCATAAAATCCAAATTCTTGCTTAGTAGATTGTAAAAACTTCTAATTGAAAGCTTGAAGATTTTGTACTTTTGCTTATAGTTAATATTTGTAAATAATAAGCAGATTGAAATAAATACGAAAGTGTGATTACTATTTTAATTATCACCGAATGGTTATCGTATGAGTGTGCTACATAATCTTCTGTAAAAATAGTATAATATTTACATATATAAAACATTCTGAGCACACAAGGATTATACATGGTATTCGGTAGCCATAGCTGGTTACTGCTGGAATAAAGAGCTGAAGCGCATTATGTATGCGGGAGACGACAAAAGAGACCGTAGGATAAGCTCTTAACACCTTGGGTGGCGGACATTTGCTTCTAGTCAGACTCCAGCGTCCTAGGTAACTAAAAATATCGATTTGATCGTAATAAAAATAATGTAGGATTGCAGTAAACTATCTATTGTAAAAATAATAATGTATCGGTTGAGAATTAAGGAACATTAAACAAAGAACCGGAATAGATTTTTAGTATTTATTTATGAAATAAATATATTTTTTACATATACCGCACAGTCATGGAAATTATTGCTACATTTAATTCTGTATCATTTAGTGCAATTATTATTTTTATTCACAGTGTAATCACCTGTGAAAAATAATAAAAGTGTTTTTGTTAATATAATAAATATATTTGAGGTAGGAACTTATTCCTTTTAGTTTAAAAAAATGGTCTATTCTCGACTCCACAAGCCTGATTTTAATTTTGCAAGCTACGCAAATCACTAGAAGATGTATGTTCTTGCCAATTTCTTTTTGTCGTTATATTTGCCGTGGTAAGACATTAGTTATTAAAAACTATCGATAGACAGACCACATGAGAGAATCTCAAAATAAATAGTCAAGGCCATTGTAGGTAATAATGGACGCTAAGTAGTTTTTATTTTTTTTATTCAAAAATCTGTTCAGTCAGAATAAGAAGATATGATTAAATATGTGAAATTGTTAAATATGTAGGCATGCTTATTGATTTTGTGACTTGTTTACCCCACACGCTTTCATATTGTTGAGGAATGAGGAAGTTACAGAAATATCTCGCGATTGTTCGATTTGCTGTAAAGTTGATACCATCCATGTGCGGCTGCAATACTGTCCTATATTTATGTTTAGACATACCTTTTTTATTATAATGTCATAAGTTTGTAAAATATGATGCTACTGATTATGACTTATACATAATAATATATTAACAGACATAATTTATAGATTACAGAATGCTTTATTAAGTATGTTCCCTTTAACGAAATCCCTATATACGAAAAATAAACTTACTTGAAATCTACATTATATATGTTAATAACCTATTTTTATAATAAAAAAGGTCAAATACAGTCAAGTGTAGTTAGTCATTGGTTATGGGAATTGGGTCTTATAATTAAAAATTGACTCGTGTGTATATATATATATATATATATATATATATATATATATATATATATATATACACATATATATCCTGTTTCATCGTAATATTACATAATTTATGATTTAATTATGTAGCCGATAGCACAGGCGGGATTACCATTCCATTACCATTCCATCATCCATTAAAAAAATCAAGAAATATCTTACTGGAATGTATAGGCTAACTAACCTGGTTTCATCCTCACCTATCTTCCCTCATTGGTGCCCGCCAGCGGATATCGGTAGTTTGCTCATGCGGGGTTACCATTCTGTTGTCACTAAAAAGCATTACTAAAACAAAACTAATAACTTGTTTTACTCGGCGTACGGTTTATTTACAAGTATCCCAATCTAGTAAAAAATCACAGATGGTACTTTAAAATAATATTTTTTTAAGGAATTTAAGTATTTAATCATATATTTCTAAAACAATCTTATTTTGAAACTAGGTCATATGTTACAAAATTAGTCAATATTATGGAAAATTTCTAACTAAACTCTACCCGTGACTTTGCCTGTGAGGAAGTTCTGCACCTGTAGGTATATTCACCTGTTCAGTCGTTTTATGTGTAATTTAGAAAACATTAATCAATTCTAATTCTTTGCGGGAGACTGGATGTTAATTAGAGATAATTTATATTTCAAGGTAACGGCGTACTTTACGTCAGGTGTTCTTTGAACAATGGAAATGTAAATATATAAAAAAAAAAAAAAAAAAATTATGACTTGTTCAATATGATATTCTAAGTATTGTTTATCTCTAAATGTACATACGTACGCGTTTACGCAATATTATAAACTGGCTGTTGTACCACGTGGCCGTCGTTTACGTGAAATAGTATCTATTTAAAATACGATACTCTTAGGTTTCCATTTTGATTGTATCATAATAAC